ATTTTATTGCACTATTTATTTTCAAGAATATAACGCATGGTGAATCACTTTTATTTTTGCCTTGCTGGGTCCGTAGAGCTTGCACACAGTCTACTTCAGATATGCATTGGCACTCATTCACATAAACCAGCGTGCACCGACATGTGCAAAAACAATGTTCTGCTGTGCACCGATGAACATATCCTCAGTGCAACTGTTGGGGTTAAGAGGCAGATGTTATTCCGTCCTGATGACTTTCAATTCAGAGAAAATGCAGCCAAGGATGGGAGTTATTTTCAGCCCAGTGTTGTGCAGTTTACTGTAGTAAAATGGTATTTGTTAAATGGATTGGAAATCCATGGGCCTCAATGGCAACAAACAGCAAGCACCTCATATTCAAATATGGTAAATCTACTGAGAGATGACTTTATGCACTGTTGTTCATTAAAATGCTATTAACTGGTAAGTTTCAGAGCCTCTCGCTAAGGGGAGCCAATCGGCACTAAATCCAACTGGGTTGTATTAACTGGAAAGACTGAGTCAGGCTGAAGGGTCAACTAAGCAAAGTATACAACTTCCCAGGAGCAGACCTCTAACGGCTAAGTGGTTTTCTGTTGCCAATGTGTTTCATTGTAAACTTTTGCTCAGAAACTTTCGCCACTAGAGAGCCATTTCAGATGCCTAGACATGAATGGTTCGTTTTAATTATTTGGTTCCAGTCTTGTAACATCTTTATGCACCACAGTCAAAACATTTTTTTTTAAATGTTAAGCGAGTTTATAAAAAATGTCAGAAACGGTGAAACTCATTGTTTGTAGCACAGAAATAAATAAATGCTGAATGTTCTCTCACATTTATCATGTTGACAATTATTTGCAAATATTTTAATACCACCTTGGTTGAAAACAATTGCATCTAATAAAATGTTTAAGAAGACTCATTTTGTTTGATGCCAAAAACACTTGGAAGGTAGTGATAAAACAAAACAACTCTGGAAACCATTTAGCTAAAAAATACATTCTAGAACATGCAACTGGTCATTAACAGCATCCTAGTGGACTATCTAAGCTTAAAGTTGTACACACTACAGCACATAGTATCATTAAAATAATTTCGAATAACCTGCATGTGGCACGTAACAGCAGACGACTTAAGTTGAACAGAAACAGCGCTGGTATACTTACTGGCATTCTATGCTACAATTACAAAACTGTAGACTGGAGTAGAGGAACAACATCGATGCCGTTCAATAAGACACACAACAGTCTCTCCTTCATAAAGTAACTAAGGACTTCAATGCTGTATTTATAAGTCTTACCTTGTAAAAAGGCCTGAATTTCGTTGTACAACCTCCATGTCAGTTGTCAATGCACCAAAAGAATTACATGTGGAAACCACTAATTTAAAGGAACATTTTTGTCCAACTGGCCAGATATCTTGTTTCACTTTTTTTCCGTTGACTTGATTTCACAGGTGTCACTAATTAACTAGCGCGAAAGTGCGCTGATTAAAGTCGTAGCTTCCGCTTCGTCACGTCCGAGAAAAAAATATTAAACTAAATAATTAAGTTATTGATTACTTCAATTCAATGTCGAGTTCTGTAGAATACTAAATTAGTTCTGACCGATAATTAATCCTAGAATTTGGCAAGAAGTTGGGATGAAGGTGTCACATTAGCCCCTTCGTTTGAAAACCTCAACAGTGAGTTCAGCAGCGTAATATCCGAGTTTCACATGCGATTACTTTAAGTATGTCTGTCGCTGTCGTGCTGCCTGGAACTAGTCAAAACCTCTCCAGAATCTCACTGAAACACAGATACGAACTGGAAAAAACTCAAAGCACATCTGGGAGTAGTTTATATGATGAGAATAGAACTTCCTCTCTTGCTGCTCGGGAAAATGTCCGGGTTTAATCTGATGGTCGAAGCGAGAGGATATTAAAATGCCTTATTTTGTGCCAAATAGAAAACAAAATAACACAATTATTTGGATTATGCAATAACAAAATCAGCACAGGAAAGTAGCGGATGTTCAAGTTTAAGAACAGCAAAAACCAGGGGAGCAATAAATGACGACGGCCTCTGGCAAAGCCTATCACCAGAATACCCATCAAGACTCCAGGCACAGATATCCCGTCACAGAGCATAAGTAGAACATAAAAACCAGAGCAAGTCGTACCCATAAAAAAATGAAACTCAGTCCACTTCAGTTTTTACAAGGAGTCTTAAAATTTTGAAATAAAACGTATTCTCATAAGATGCTTTCTTAAAAATCACATATAAAGCAGCCCTCTGCAAATGGAACTATACCCACTTTCCAGAATCATAAAGTAACCCTAAGATCATTGCTTTGAAATAAAAGGCTATCTGAGCCTTTTCTGACAGGTATATTGACAGGGAGGAATATCTCAACCAAACCTTTGTAATCAAGTCTACACATCATAAGATGTTAAACCTGTTAATGTTCACAGTCTGAATATGATTGTTTAAATCAGCTCAATCTCAATTATTTTATTATGTATGAGACACGATGGAGTGCACTTTAAAACCCCTGTTCAGTAAATCATTGTTCCTCTAAGCAAAATCTGACAAATTGGATTAACAATGCGATCATTTGTGGATTAGATAGAGTGAAACAACCTGAAAGTGGGACTTACTAGGTTTATTTTTTTCTGAATGCTGAGGAGGCTTTTGCCTGCAAACACCAAACACCCATTCGTTATATTGAAAGAATGTGTGACCTTTAGTGGTGTGACAGTAGCAGTGTTTGAAGAATGAAAATGTCATCCATGACATGTTTTCTAATTTTTTCTTTATTAGGTAAAGAGTTACTAAGCTATTGGTGGAGTGGATGTTTCAATTTCCATTCACAAAACGGCCAGTGAGCACTGCCCTGCTCCCCGCCTCTCATGAAGACTTGGAGGGTTTTTGAGAAGGACACCTGTGGAACGCTGATGCAAATCATATTTCCTTTATGATGCTTGTGGAGGTTGTAGTTCATAGGATGCCATAATGAGCTATACTGAAGAGTGTTAACAAACTATTAATATGAACATTTCCTGTAGTTTGAGACGCAGTAAGAAGTAACTTGGTGGGCAAAATGGGAAGAACTGTCTGGAGTGCTGTGCTGGTTTGGGTTGGCAATACCAGGAATGAAGGAGTGTCAAATTAAGGCTGGTACTGTAGGTGGGAGCAGACCCAGAGATCACTCTGTAATATGATTTTTAATATAAATAAAAATGTCATCCCACTTGTTTTGATCAGTGGATCGTTATTTGTACAATTTGTTTCAGATGAATTAATTATATAATCAATATTCTGCTTAATTTGAAATTAGCAAATAGTTGTATTTATTGGTTCCTTGGTTTTATGGTTAACATTGATGAAGTGTAAAAATGTTGAATGCTTTTGACAATAGCTCCTCATTTTTAAAAAAAGAAACAAGCAAAGTAGGTGTTTGTAAATAATCGATTATGAGTAAAGAAAAAAATTATCATGTCACAGATTAACATGCAGTGGCAGATGGGGATGTTGTGATTCTCACGTGATCAGAATGCTATTCCCACCACGTCCACAAGAGGGCAGGTGGGGATTACAAAAAAAGCCCACGCTACAAACCAAGACGTGAATATATCTGCTCTATCTCTGGACTCCTGGCAAATGAAAAATTAATTTGCTTTAAATATGACATACCTTTTGACCAGTTGTTTTTAAATGTCTTGATGAAAGACTTTTGGGTTATTTGCAACACATTTTAGACCACTCTTCACGTCTCTCAATGGTAAAACTGGCTGATCAGCACCATGGAGAGAGACCGAATTCAGGACCCTGGACAGCTAATGTCTCAGCACAGAGGACGATGCGGGTATATATAGTGAATTCAAACGAAGGAGCACGACAAAAACAACGCCTACTTGACATGGCAGAACACGGTATGTCGTGTTCAGTCCACAGTCTTCCCACTCATATCTGGGATTTCCTCAGATTCAACAGGGAGTTGGGGCGGAAGAGGTAGGATTTCGCTGTCGCTCGCCCATTACATCGAGGAAGGCGTCACTGCGCGTTACGTCAGAAAGGGGGCAAAAAAGGAGGGGTGAAATTTAACCCCTCTTCCAAAATATGGGTCAATAAACTGTTGCCGTTAGAACGGCGATTGATGTGTGGAGGTTCCGTTATTATAGGGTTAACTGCAGTCCCATGAATCGTGATATGATGAAAGGGAGCATATGGCTAGAAATCATGATAGAATATGATGCAATAGTCCGCTCTGATTGGCTGTGGGGAACTTGCTGTGGTCGTCAAATAAACCACAATTAAGAGACACACACATATACACACACACACACACACACACACACACGCACACACACACACATATATACATGTTTATATTTATATACATCCTCCTTTACAGGCAAGACCCACGAAGTCAATCAATCCAAACACCATATCTTCCACAAAACTGGATATCCCTCATATTACGCATGTGTTTGCTCAGTCCACATGCTGGTCTGTCATTGATGTAACATACACCGCCATCACACCAATAGCTTTTACAACGTGTGGTACAGCAGGCATACAGGACTCAGCAAAGTTGATTTATCAATGATGCCAGATTTCAGGGCAGAGGAAAGATAGGTGGGGGTTATCACTTCCATTTCAAGTATGAAACCAAAACAAAACAACTGTTATTTTATAAACGAATCTAGTCCCACTGAAAAGATAGAGCTAAACAAAGTACAGAATTTGCTCCAGACAGTACTTGAAGAGGTTTAGTGTGAAAGTTCACAAATGTGGAGTAGCTAATGATTGCACCGAATCGGTCCAGCAAAATGTAAAGCTTCATCGAACCACCCCTTTGTTTCATATTTGATTCTCGCTCATGGACAAGCTGTCTTGTAAAATTAAGGAGGTAGCGCTGCGTTCCTCTGTTAACCAGATTTTTATTTCCCTAACATCTGGGTCGATCAAGAGTGGAGGGAGCCGGTGAAGGTGGAGGGAGGAGAGGGGAGGGGAGGGGAGCGGAACGAGATATTCTCAGCCACACAGTAAAGGGGGCCGTCCCTGTTAGTGGAGATCTGCCCGAGAAAGGCCCACCTATAGTGATCATCTGAAGATATCTCCCATTTAGACGATAGTTTAACTCGTGTGTGCGACCAAATTATAAGGGAACAAGTTGAAGGCTATTTTTGAATCGGTAAGGACGCCTTTTTTTCTCCCTATCGTGCATTTCTTTTTATATTATGGCTCATTGTAACCATATAGAGGTCACCATGCCTGATAATGTCGTCATGCATTGGACGGTTCTGGTTTGCACCGTGCGTAGAATAATTCAAAAGCTCAAAGACGGCAGTTATGTTTCTGTCTGAAAGATATCGTGAAGGCGAAGGGACCTGTTAGATATCATTTGAATTCGTGCTTATGGATGCTGGGTGTTTGCAGGATTCACGCGCACCGTCCGGGATGTATTGGCGCCCAAAGCAGCCAAAGCAGGAGTATCACCGGAGCCGTCAGTCTGGGGCTCAGTCGCTCCTCTCTGTTTTACTGCGTGTGATCGCTCGGACACTCTGTTTCCAAACGATTCGATGGTTAATTGAGGATACCTGCTGATTGCCTGCCAACTGTAGCCTGCTTTGCGCTTCCCTTCCCCCAGGAGCGTAATGTGGCTTTTAAATTAAAATCCACCCTTCCAATTCGATATTCTGGGCAGACTTTTAAGAAAAAGGGGCCAGGAGCAGTCCTGTCATCCCCAAGCAACCTAGAGACCAGCAATAATTAATGAGAGTCTCTACAATGAACTATTTCATTGAAATCTTTTTGCCTTTGAATATTTCATGCATTCACCAGGATGTTAAAGGGGTGTTGAATGCATGAGTGAGCAGAGGTTTTTTTTTTTTTTTTTACTACAGCCTGGTGCTTGGTGTGTACCGGTCACGATCTACCACAGGAGGCAGTGCTGCCCTCTGTCCCTTCAATCTAAACGCTTGAGTGTTAAAAACATTAAACATACGATCTTTTCAGAATGAATTTCTGAAACCATTTTAGGCCCCACGTGACGGGATGTGAGTATCTGAAAGCCACGTGTGAGGGGAACAGCGGCGATAGACACTCACAGCTCATGTGGTCCATCTCTCCACAGCAGATCGGCCAAGATGGATGTTTTTATGAAGGGTCTGTCTAAAGCAAAAGAAGGGATGGCTGTGGCCGCAGAGAAGACCAAGGAGGGAGTTGCTGTGGCTGCTGAAAAGACCAAGGAAGGAGTGATGTTTGTAGGTATGATGTCACACATCTCAGTCTGTTTGCAGGTTATATGAATGCCAATCATTCATGGACCCTTTGTGACTGTTCATCTCCATTACTACATGTAGGGAAAGAAACAAAAAAAATCTATTTTTAACTTAAAATCAATATTTGATCATACACTATTTTATCTTATATTCGATCATGTCATTTATACATGAAAGCTGAAAGCTTTGCATTTATGTCTTTGATCAACATTGCAGAACAGTGAGATTATTCAAAGGATTTAATGAGTACTTTGTGCTGAAATGCCTGATAGCTAATTCTACAGGCAGCGCTCTCCTTTGATGATCTCAGCATTTGTCATTTCAGTTGTAGCAACATGAATCCAGGTCTATCAGCTGATGATCATCTTCATTTTCCTGATGCGTACTGATGTTTTCTTCCTGTAAAACCATGACCTCTGACTGCATTCTTCAGCGGTAGTAAATAATGCATCAGGTTGAGGAGTAATTTTGATGTATGTCCCACATCTAATCTGCCGTCTTGCTTGACTTGAGTACGCTACAAGGAGGAGATGGCTGTGGGGGTGGAGCAGTGAGATGGCAGGAGGTGCCACATGGTGCACATTAGGCAGCAGCAGACTGTAAAACAGTCTGAGCCTATGGTCACCTCTTGGAGTTAAACAGACTGAAGGTCTTTGCTTTTTCCTCTGTTCAGTGCAGCCTTATACTGTTGGACAATCTCACTGAAATCTGAGTGCCCCTGTTTCCTCATTATCGACCAAGCTTCCAATTAAAATTCAGCGATCTAATCCAAATTAAACCAAATCACCTGTTTTAAATCCTCATCTAAATAAATAAACACATGTCCAATAGAGGTGGTTGCTGCTGTGACAGAGTGGTAACCTGTTCAAAGTGAAACAGATTTTAACATAAAACCTACATGAGCATGAATGGGGAAGTGATGAATGAATATAGTTTGTGCTATTTCAAGTAGTTTTAGCAATATGCTTGTAAGATGGTTAGAAAGACTAACATCTGATATAAAAACAACATTCACATATTTTACTTCACTTTGTGATGAATCACGGGTCATTTATAATCTGTTTTGCTGGATAGTCTTTTTGATAAGGATACTATTCCGTAATGCTGTCAAAGCATTACAAGTTGATATAGTTTTTTTTTAAAATGATGACATATATGCAATTGTGAGCAAAACTAAACATTTGTGTTCCACAGGTTTCTCTTAAAAACACCTGGTGCCAAACATGAGTTATGTTAATCATTGGTTTCTCCTAATTTAGCTATCTTAAATAGTGTTATCTCTGGTCTAAAGATCTAAGAAGTAGCTGATAGTTGCTAAAAGGGCAGGCTGATTCATCAGTTGTTTCACTTCTGAATGTACAAAGAAGTATGTATCATAAACAACAATAAGTACATTCTAACACAATTGTTCAGTTGTTGAACCATTTAGGCAGTTGAATTGTTGCCGGAGGACAGTGACAGTGAAACTGCCTGGTTGTTCCACACCCATAAATGTTGTACCTTTTGCTTTGCAACTTTGTGTTTAAGCCAAATTCAAGAGGCAGAGCATAGAAGCTCTCAGATGTGCCAGCATGCACTGTAGATGAAATCTCATTAATCAGCATAGTTAGCACTGTGCCCCTGTCACTTCTGACGCCCCCCACATGCCCAGCACAGATATGTGAAGGCCAATTTTTCATCTTGCTCACCCTTCACAGATAGGGAAAGGATCATTGCATTGACTCTAGTTGTTTGCTGAGCATGCTGGTGGCCTAGAAAGCTGCATATGTTATGCTTAAAAGCCACTCATGGAGGAGGGGTAGTTGGGATTTGATAGTTCTGTGGGCTACCTTTTGACAGCTGCAGCTTCAGGAGACCACCCACCCAGCTGAGCAGACTGAGAGAGGCAAGCACACACAATCTGATTTGATGTTGCAGCAAACACGTTGATTCACGGAGCATCTGGGTTTTGCTGTAATGACTCACTGGATTACTTGTAGGGTATATTTGGAAGCAGTATTTTTCACCTATCCAATTCTTACTCTGGCATCACATCATTCTGGCTGTGGCTCTTCTCCAAGCGTATTCTCTTATTCTGTTCTCCAAGTTTACATAATTATTGATGTTACTTATATTTTAAAAAAAAGTGAAATTCTGAAGTGGAGTTAAATAATAATAATAATACTCTCAAAATCTATCATTACTGTATAATTCTTTTGGTGTAATTTAACAGTTTGTGACCCAGTATTGAAAGGGGAAGGGAAGCGAGAGGGGAAGAGTCACTCATTTTTTAATTTTGATAAAACATTATTAACACTCAAACAATACTTGTCAGACGTTTAACTTTATTTGACCTGTTGTATGTTACACTTTTACTAACATTATCATGACAAAATGTGTGCTTGAAAAGATCAAATATATCAATATTAGTACTTCTAACATATTCTAGCTATCAAAGCTTCAGCCATTGTATATTTATGTTGCTGTGGGCATTGTGCAATATTTGTGCTTCAGCAGAGGAAGTGCTTAAATGGACGCATGTTTTGCTCAGAGCTTTAGCTTTTGTTGGAAAATTTGTACTTTTATTACATTTTTACTTTGGCTGTACTTGGTTGGATTTTAAAGGCCCTCAGGGACCAATCCGGGATGTATGTGCTGCACACCAGAGAGGATGACAGGGTCTGAGTGATCAGTGGCAGAAGAACACAGTTGATTACCCAAATAGCTTTATGGAATACATTTGAGATGGATGTGCCGAAGGACAGAAATCAGAACAGCGCTTAATAACCTCCTAATAAAAGCACAGGGAAACCCAGAGGACCAAAGACAGGCTTGTTCTGCAGTAATTCAGGTGTACAGTGAAAAATAGACTAGGAATTTAAGCTGCTTTACTATATTAATACTGACAGATTGATAGTAAAGTACAATAAGATTGGTTTAAGGAAAACTGTCATGTTCAAATACAATAAAACTGACGTTCAAATGATTTCCTTTTTTCTCTTATCTTAGGTAACAAGGCCAAAGACAGCGTCGGCACAGGTGAGTCTTTCATGAACTTCTCAAATCCCAAGAATTTTTTTATCCTTGTTGAAGTTCCGATTTCAGTAAAATGACACTGAAGAGGCTAATTCAGAACAGTTCAATTCTGAAAAGGTCGAATTTGTTGTGGCAAAGAGAGGACTGCTAATGGGGTCAAAATGGTTGATATCGATTGGAAGCTGACCACTGTGCTCTCAATGTGTCTGTGGAGTCTTTGGAGATTATATTACATTCTAATTATTATTGTGTGTGAACAGTGGCTGAGAAGACTACTGGAGCTGTTGGCAATATTGTTGCTGCCACTGGCCTTGGGAAGAAGGACGAGTTCCCAGCTGACATGAACGTAAGTACTAAGCTAGGCACAAGCTCTCAAGCTCATATCATGACACATGTGAGACACAATGAGAGACAATGTGTTACATTTTTCAGTCATAAGCGTTTCTATTCTTCAAATTAGCCAATAGTCTCCATCTGTGGGCTTTGTCAAGAAAATATTTTCAGGGAGAATGATCCTAAAGATCTCAAGTTGTCTTTCTCAGGTTCACAATTCTGTACTTCATACCAACTTCAACTACAAGTTGTCGCTGAATTAGTTATCATCAGCCGGTGCTATACACCCCTTTATTTTCTGCTGTGGGTTGCTGTTGGCAGAATAGTAGAACGGTACTGCAGCATGTTTATATTTACACTGAATCTTGTGTAAGGTATTGCTGGCAGCCCATTCTGAGTTCTGGATTGTTAAATCATATCTAGAGAGCTGGGGTAAAAATGAAGAATCTCCATGTTATCTACAGAAGTTGTATTAGTAGTCTGATTGTCTGTTTAGTTCTTCTGCCATTGTCTCAGAATATGGTAAAACTTCACTTTATTGTTGCAAAACTGCTACCTGGGGAGACATCCTAACATATTATTATGAGGATCCAGTATAATAATTTGCTTAAAGCATAATTTCTTTAAATTAAGAAGCATTTAGATCTATCTACCAATATAAAAGGACTGAATACAAGTTTTTATACTGTCTGAGCTCTTAACCTTTACTGAAAGGTTGACACGCTGTCAGGAAGCTGGCCTTGTGTCTATGTCTGTAAGAGTGTCAAAGAACCAGTGAGAGCTCCTCATTCTGTCTTAAGCCCTCATCCCTTTGAGTTGGACCTTCTTTATAGATTTGCTAATCTTCTAAATCTAGCAGCTTGCTCTAATAGGCTTCTCAAAGACAGGAACAGAGTGATAAACTGCTCATTCCAACACCCAGATAACACACTGACACTGTTAGGATTGTATTAAAGGTTTCTCTGTCGGTTTTAATGATGACTGCATGGTACATTTACTCTGTTTGACCCTATCCTGCAGAGATACTTATCAACCAAAACATTAATGCTACTCAGTTCTTGAATCTGATGTGTTGGAAACATGGGAAAGAGTAAAATTATCTCTAGCACAGCTCATCTTGGGGGGTATTTCAAACCAATAAACTAGCTAGCAAAACAGTTTAAGAAAAGACAACAAGGGGGAAAGGACATTGCGTATCCAAGGCTCGCTGCTGTGTGTGTCACTTGTGTGTCTGCGGCGAGCCACCTGCAAAATTTCAGAAAAACATCGCAGGCTCTCAGAGAAAGCTGTCAGAACACATTGTGTACTGCTGTGAGCAGAGTTGTGCAGCTGCAGTCCAGCCAGACTAGCCATATTGACTCTTGTTTATCCAAGATAGGACAGATCTGGATCATTAAGCAATGGCAGAGGCTGGTCTAATAAGTCGCATTTTCTGTTCCGTGACATAGATTGCTTGGTGAGTATACTCCATTTTCTTGTGGAAAACATGGCAGCAGGGTGCACTCTAAGAAGAACATGGCAGATCTGTTGTGATGACTTGGATAACGTTATGCTGGGGGATCCCCCCCCCCCTATATTTGGGCTTTAATTGACTCTTATATTATCATATAGGGGCTACTTTCAGCATGATTCTGCACCCTTCTAAAATCAAGGAAACAATGTTATATAGAGGTTTTAGGTTTTGGGACTGGACTTAAAAAGGAGTTGATCCCATTTGTGGGATAATGTCCATTTAAAACGTCAAGGACTGAAAGGTTCTGCTACTAAGGACTTGGTTTCTGACACAGATGCCTTCAAGGATCTTTTTCACTCAGTGCTTATATGGACCAGGGTTGATTTGGCAGAAAGATGTTTTTGATATATTGCGTGTTCTGAATATATCTTAAAAGAAATATGAGCGGAAGGTTGCATCATTGACTTTTTACCATGGAAAAGTGAATACATTTGAAGGCCTTAAAAACAAGTTTAGCTCGTAGTTTTAGACATCGGCTCTCATGAATTTAAATATGGAACCAATTAGCCCCGTCATTTATCTTCCCTCTGCTGCTGTAATTTCATATAAAGTCTTTCTCATATTCCATTTTACTCAGGCAGTGATTGGTGTGATTAGGTGTTTGTGGTGGTATCCCATTGTGCAGCCTCTAAGAGCACATTAATCTTGTTGGTGGGCTTACAGCATTTACACTAGCTTGAGATAGCACACAAGATTACTATCTATTCTTCTGTGACCTAATTGACTTGATTAGCGCTGGGTTTAAAAATAAATGGCTGGCAGCCCACTAGCTTTGTTCTCAAGGCTCACTGTAGCAGGTGCAGCAAAGATGGAGAGCTGTTCTCCTCAGACGTCTCTCGGGAGATATTGAATGTTAAAAACCAATTTTGTTCAGGGCCACAGTATCAAGATACAAAGGTATTGGATTTTTAGTGTAACCTCAGATATGAATGGATAACTTTGAGCATGTTCGATATTTCAGCTGCCAGTAAAAGTCTTTCATAGGCGCACAAGCAAAAATGAATTGATTCAACAGATAAGTTATGTTTATGCATCGAGGACATAACATGACAAAAGGCCTACCCCTCCAAATCAAGCTCTTAACTGTCCATGAAACTTATAAAAAGAAATCACTCATCTTCAATTTGCAACCAATGTTTTTCTTCATTACCAAAAAAGAAAAAAATAACTGCATGATATGTTTTGGTCAATGCCAGACAGCCTTGTAGTACTTTAAATAGTCATTGCCTTGAAAACCTTTATTAATGAACTGGTGAAAACAGAGCAACAAAACATTTAGTAATAAAGTCCTTTCTGTTGACATCTACTGTATACAACAACACTTACTATACATACTCACACACATACAGAGAGAGAGAGAGATAATTGATTTTATTTTAATCTTGTTTACATCTTAAAAACGTGTTTGCTGCTTGACCAAATTTTTCCAGTTTCATGAGTTCAGTTAAGTTCACACTACCAATCAACTAAAAACAGCTGTTTCGTGTCACAGTGCCAGAGGTATCAGTTAATGCAGATCACTGGACTGTTTTAATCCAGACACATTTCAGAGGCTTTTGTCAACAGAAGAGTTCATTTAAGAACAGGTGAAAAGCGTGGTTTCTTTCACAGTATGTTTATTAGTTTATGATACAGTTACTTTTTTCATTACGTCATCTCTCTGTTTCCCTCTCCGTAGCCTGAGGAATATGGACAGGAGGCCATGGAGGGCCAGGGAGAGGCAATGTTGGAGCCAGAAGGGGAGACATATGATGACACCCAGCAGGTAACCAGCATACTCAACACAAGGAGTATCACATGTCTCAGTGCTTGAATGAAACAATGATTGAGTTACCGACGGATTTTTGTGGGTTCTGTTAAAAAGCTATGAAGTGGCGCAATGCACACAGGAATAAGTCCATTCACTTACTGTACAGTCAACTGAGGCTTATCAGTATTCACCAGCTCTGCATGGTTACACATTTCAGCTGTATTGCATTTCAATAGCACTCCACTCTTGCCCTCCACTTGTGTCCCATTCAAACACTACAGCTCAAACTGAGGTTATTCTTATTTTCTCTGGAAATAAAAACAGAGGGCTCACCAGGCCAACACAGCATGCCCAGAGTACAGCAAATATAGCTCCACCTACCATCACTGTGTAGGGTGTGTGTCGTTTTGGGCGTGCTGGAGGCAGAATGTGAATCTGACACAGATGGTTATTTTTGGAATTTGACTGTCAGGGGCAAGACAAACTGTGCAGAACCAATGGCTTTGAAATCAGATTTTTAAATAGCATGAAATAACACACATATTGTGGTTATTCCTATCATTACACTGTATAGGCTGAAATGTCGCCACTAATGGACTGTAAAATATAGTTGGTGAGGATTAAAATTAAATTCAAGTTCAATTTAACTTCATCTGATTTTTGATTTTGCATATTGCCACTCATATTCAATTTTCAAATGCATTTGCTTGGATCTTCTCCTAATTACAGGCTCTTTTTTGTAGGTCACTGTGTTAATCTTTGAAAGGACTGACACTGATATTTTCTTAAGACCCTAAGTGAAAGTGACTTTCTCAGTGGCTCTAGCCTGTATCAATCATTTCCTCCTCCATCTCTCTTTCCTCCTCTTCTGCATCTTCCCCTCCCCCATCCTTCGATACACCAGCTATGTGCAGCTCTGTGAGAATGGGTGTGGTGATGACGCTGTGTGCCTCCATGGATTGTGGGTAATGTCAGGGTCTCCCTGCATTGCTCTTAATATGGAGTCTTATTAATGCAGAGTGAGTCAATCCCCTCGAAGGGAGGACAGGGAGATAAAATTAGTCTATCACACAATCAAGTTTGGTTTGTTAATACATCAAAACATGTTGAATGATGCATGAATGTGTGTGTGCTACAAAGATTGAAAAAAAAAAAAGCTCACGACTCGCCCTTGAAGCACATGCTGGTCTATGCTGCCCTCTGCTGGCTGGAGAGTCATGAACCTGCAGGGGGGCTGAGCTGTGAGGGAGAAGCATCCAGCATCATGCAATCACATGAACTCCATGTCACGAATTCTCTTTAAATGGATTGAAATTGGTTAACAACCAATTAGGTTTTAAATCAAAGCCATAATGCTGAATTATCTCTGAAATCTGTTCTTCTTTTCTCAGGAGAGCCAGGATTATGAGCCAGAGGCGTAAACGCATCAGTCAGAGCCACTATCCAACCAGCAGCACAATAATCTTTCTAATAATAAAAGGACAAAAGCTGAAACTAATACAATTATATCCCTGTTGCAAAAAAATCAACAAAAAGACAAGCATTCCCACAGAAAAATGTTCTTCCTTCAAGACAAATCTTTTATTATTATATATTGTACATGTAATGTTATTAATGTAGTGTGTTGGGTGTAGATATATATTGAAATGTAGGATTTGACCTCTCGGTCTCATTTCCTTGATTCCCTCCCAATGAAATGAGACCAGAGCCAGGCCTGTGACTTTGTACTTGTGTGTATCTGTATTTAAAAACGTGCAATAGGTGTTCAGCATCTTCCAATGAGACATTGGGAGTGGAAAAAATAGAAAAATGGCCAGTTGCAAGCAGATATGAATACAATAATATCTTCTTAAATGTCAACAATGCCTGTTTGTGGGTTTTTCCTTTTGCATTTCTTTGAGGGTTAATTTCTTTCTTAAGTAAGAGTTTTTTACATTGTATCTTTATAGTTGCTCGTGAATCATTCCAGTAAACTCTTTGTTAGAAACCAACAGAGTGTACACGTTTGTGTGTGGGTGTGTTTGTGTGTTCTGAAGAGTTTAACAAGTTAAAGTCAATATATTCTGTCTTGGAATCATAATGGTTGTCATATCAAAATGTGCTTTAAATTGCAGGGCTTGTCAATATAAAGGTTTATGTGTTAAGCCAGACATGCAAATCCTCTGTAAATAAAAAAATGAAAAAACTCATTCCATTTTCAGTTTCTTTTCTGAGATGGTCTCAACGAGTAACCGCTGTATTGTGCTGGCATGTTTATCTTTTGGCTCACTGGTGTCTGCAGGATGTGTAAAGACTGCTGAGCAGGCGCTGTCCTTTGGCAGGATGGTGCCATACTTGGGATGCCTGTCTGATCAGGCCTCTTTGAGCAGGTTTTGTTTGGGTTAATCCAGCTAGAGCGTGCAGCTGAGGTGGTGTCAGGCTCCAACAGCGGGTATTAAACAGCCACTCCTGTTGCTATCCAGTCAGACGGATGTTTGACACTTTCAGGATCAAAGACTGAAGCCATGGCCTCGTTTAAGAAATCCTTTGAGAGCCTGAAAGGGACTAGTCACTCTGCAGCAAAAGGAGTCACAGACACTGCAGGTACAGATTTACTGTATCACGCGGAGCCAGAATATGAACTAGAACTCACAAAGAAAGTCTGAATTATGTGGGCGTTTTTTTTACTTCGGTGACACTTGTGTAAGATCAATACCGCTTTCATAATTGTTGAGAGATGCTTTTTTGCGTGGAAGGAATATTTTGAAAATCCACACCGAGCAGATGACTTAAAACCAAGCATAGACCCTTTGATTTTTCCAGTGCAGGCAGCTCAAGACGCTGTGCAGCAGGTGGCAGACTCCTCCAAAGAAACAGTCAGCACAGGTAAAGTGCACATTTCTCTTTCTATGAGGCATCTCACTCATATTGAATCCTAAAAACGTGGAGAGAGATGGGTGCTGTAAACACCGTGAAGCCTAATGCTTTACATAATTCTTTGTGCTTGTCAACTTTAAACATAAAGGCAATCAATTCCTCTTCCAATAATGAAAAACCTCCTAAATGGTTTCGGGAGGAAATTGGCTGGGCTGATTGTTCTGATGAACTGTAACAAATCCATATCCAAGCATCTTGATTGCGAATGTGACTGAATGAAACGACAGCAGCCTAGGTCAAGTGATCTGTAATAACCTCGTGAATATTTCTCTTCTGCTTTGAAGCTGCTCAAGAAGCCAGCAAGCAGACTCAGGCAGTCATAGGAAAAGCTGCAGACAAAGCCACGGACACCTTCAAGGAGTTTGGGCAGAAAATGGACACCAAGTGATTCCCAGAGAATGAATTGGTTCATCAGAACGTCTTGAGCCAAGTCTGGCCATCCATGACTTGTGGATGACAAATAATGTATGGAAATATGCTAGCATCTAACAAACAGCAGTACACATATACGTATATATTTTGTACGTCTCTAAACAGCTAACATTCCAAAGAAAAATAAACAGCATCTTTGTACATTGTTTTATTTTCTCAAATTTAGCTTTTTTTTTGCTTTAAGAAATTTCATATGTGATTTCTTTTGGAAATAATAAACAAATATCAAACTAACTCTCAGATTTGTAAAATGTGATGCATTTTGTGTCAGCTCCACCATGCAGTTACTAACACTGTTAGTAACTGGAGAATTGTCTGTGACGCACCCTGTTTTTGCATTATGTGGAGCCTCATCAATGAATCACCACAGTCATTAAAACCAACACGTTGCAGAGGAGATGGCCTTTGGCAGGCTGATGGCCCCTGATGGGAGTGTGATCAGAGCTGTCTACCCGTGTCCTCAGGAGCACACCTCCCTCCATCACACTACGTGGTTGCTAGGCAACAGCACTAAGTGCGGGCTCAGGATTGGTGGAGGACTCTGAATTGATGGCAAGCCTACCTCTGTTGGTACACTGTGTTCTGGCTCGGTTCGTGTCAACGGTACATCGAAATAAAAGAAGGATTCTCAAAAATGAAAAAAAACAAAAACATCCCTGATCTCCCGCAGTAACCTGAGAATTAGAGGACAGCACACGAGTCTCAAAGAGGAGAGTCTGGATGGAGGAAGCAGCTTCAAAAAACATGTTTGTGTGGGAGGCACTGCTCTGCCACCTCCAGGATCCTTGAGGCTAAAATCCACTGTTGTCTTTTGCAGAAGAACATTCACTGTCTTCTGCATTCCTGATATTTCATCTGCATCACTTGTTTCTGTCCCATAATGAGCCTGCGATGGCATGCTCTGACAAAAACATGCCTGCTTGTTACTGTAACCGCTGACAATGACAGTTTCAGTCAGATGTGGCCTTCATGGGTGCACACACTCTTGTCCAACTTCAAAACGGAGATATAGTCTTAAGTAGAAGAGCCCTTCCTCTGAATACTTCACCCTCTCTCCAAAGGCCCCTTAAAATGATCTCTTGTAATGACGCAGGAGCCTTTAACGCCAATTTGCACTTCCTCTAAAGATTTCCCAATCAGAAGTCACTTCACCAGATCACAGGTTTATATGTCTGTTCACAGTTGCCATTGTGTTGCTATGAGAACCTAGAGTTAATTACTATGATTTACTTATGATTAGAGAGCTGGAGAGAGAATTTGTCATTACATTACCACTCGCTGCCAGAGCTCGAGCATGGTTTCCAGGGAAACTGGAAATGTGAAGCTTTTCAACAGACACAGCCACAGCCTTAAGAGCGAGGATTGCCTAAGATAGATTCTTCTAGAAACAAACCTGTAGCCAGTGCAATCAGGATCAATCAAAGAGGGGAGCTGTATGCACAGATATCAATCTCAATCGGAGCTGAGATTTGTGGCGTTTGACCCAAATCCGAAGAAGAGTTGTGGATAGGCTTCAATCTGACTTTTGCTGCTGAGGTATGTCTTTGAATCTTGTTTGATCGTATTTGGCTTGATCTGTAAAATCTTGAATCTGGTATATGGTTACTTGAGAATTATGTAATGATAAACCAAAACAGATTTTTAAATCCAGCTACGCTGAAAAAAGTATTTTTCAAACTTTGCTGTGTCCCATGATGCTGAAATCATTTTCATCACGTTGTGGCAGAGCTAGTACTTGGTGGCTTGTGGATGTTGAGATTTTTGACATCGATAGAAAGCAATATTTCAGTCACAAAAACAAGCTGTTGTTTTATCCTCTGCTCATGCGTGGGCTGGTCCCTGATTACAGTTTGCACAAACGCCGTGTCTGTGCTGTTCTGTGCCCTGCAGGTTAATCTGCCACTTAAATGCAGACAGAATGGGAAGTCTTAAGGACGAGATGAGAGGTTTCAAAGAAGAGCCCCAGCCTTGTGTGGAGACGGATGATGGAATACGTGGAGTGAGCTCAGGCTGCAGTAGGTCCGCTGAGGGACAGTTGCCACACACAAGTCAAGAGTCAACAACTGGAGAGGAATATCAGCCAGACCTAGAGATGAATGTCAGCTCTGTTGAGGAAAGAGACGGATGCCCACTGTCAAAAGATCAAGTGCTTTCAGGAGTGGATAACACTGAACAATCAGACTCTGAGCAAGTTAAAGACTGTCCGCAGACCAATGTCCTGCCAGTGGCAGCTCACACAACAGCTGCACAAGACATCGCAACAATTTCCATCAACTTCCAAAACGATGGTGATCCTGTGGATAACAACTTTGCTCTGGGCGAAGAAAAAGAGGCAGACATTGAGAATATCTCGGTTCCTGTGCCACTGACTGCAGATCCCTTGGACCCACGTTCCCCAGCTCCCTTCGGCCAACACCACATGCGTACCCAGGTGAGCCTGGAGGTGGTCCAGTGCCGCTCAGCAGCCACCAGCCCCATGACTCCTCCCGAGGGAGGCCATTCCTTCTTCTTCCCAAGCATCTTAGGGAACTCTGCAGGTGATGGTGCTGACACCAAAGATGCGGAGCTGCAGGTCTGTCACCAAGTGGAGTTCTGCTCTGTCGCGACTTCACCCATGACCCCAAAGACACCGTCAACCACGGCTTTCCCGGTGCTTACTGGGAGAGAGACTGGGCAGAATAAGGGCGGGGTGGAACAGAGAGGGACGGACACTGAGAGTGGCCAACAGGAGACTTTAACAGCAGAAGAAAATACGCCTGCTTGTGTAAAAGATTCACAGGTCTCACTAGAGGACAATAACCAGCACTGTAAGCAGCAGAGGATGGGAAGTATGGATCAAGACATTACAATCTTGGTGACCCACCATGGCAATAATGAGGAGGAAGAAGAAGAAATGTCTGAGTCATATTTCTATTCCACTGGACCAGAGGTGGTGAAAACAGATGAGAGTAAGGAGGTTGGAGGAAACGAAAGAAATATAAAGAGCGGGGATGGAAATGAAAAGATCTCCGCTGAGGTTCCTGCTCGTGAAAAGGATGAATCAGAAGCAGACCATTCAGAAAAACAACCAGAGGAAGCCAAAGAGATCATTAAAGCAAAAGATTATGAGGCCAGAGATGTGTTTGAGGAGTTGACAGAAGCTCCTGTGATGAAAGTGCCGGTCCCTGAATCGCCAGCTCCCTTTGGCTGTCACAACATCCGCACACAGGTGAGCCTGGAGGTGGTGCAGTGTCAGTCTGCAGCTACCAGCCCCATGACTCCTCCTCAAGGGGAGCAAGCCTTCTACTTTCCCAGCTCGTTTGGGAAATGTGGGTCCACGGGGACAGATACTAAAGATGCTGAGCTGCAGGTGGGTACCCAGGTGGAGTTTCGCTCGGTGGCCACAGCACCCATGACTCCAAGAACTCCAGTTGCCACGACTTTCCCTGAGATCAAGAAGGAGGCCAGCATAGAGGAGAAGATTGTGGAGGAGGTGGATGAGGAGGAGGACGGGGGAAAACAGAAGCAAATGACGGAAGATAAAGATGAAGTGCTTGAAGAAGTGGAGGAGGGGGAAAAGGAGGTTCTGAACGGTGAGGAGAAGTGCGAGGAGCCAATACAGGAGGTGAGCTGGGATGAAAAAGGAATGACCTGGGAGGTGTACGGAGCTGTGGTGGAAGTGGCTGTGCTGGGCTCAGCCATCCAGAAACACCTGGAGAAACAGGTGTTGAAGCAAAAGAAGCAGTCCTCCATGCCTCCCCCACCTCCACTCAACCCATCAGCCACCCCCCTCACTTTGGAAGGGGGTCCAGGTAAGAGCTGCGCGGGGAAGAGAAGGGAGCAGGACGGGAAAGTGAGCAGGCGCAGGAGAAATCCCTTCCGTCTGATGATGGAGAACATGCAGCAGCCGCACTGCTGCTCCAGAGCTCAGACCAGTGAGTGACAGCAGAGCCCTTTCGTTCTATCTGCCACAGCTGGCTGGAGAATCCCATCTGAAACATGTGGCTGTTGCTACAGCAGGACATTGTTTTAAAGGGGGGAGAAACAACTCGCCTCCACACACAAGACAAACCAGCACAAAAGCATATGAAGCATTAATCACAGAGAGAGAGCCATACTATCTTTTTCATTTTGATCTTTTCTTTTGTCTGTATATTCTTCGACATCACTTCTGGGCTTTTTTTGTGCAAAATACAAAGCGACACATTAGTGTCATTGTTTGCTTAGCTTCTCTACTTTAATGTTTTAAAATGTAGGCCGCCATTCAGTTGTTTTAGCTCTTAATGCTTTTTTTAATGCACATCAGACAATATGAAGCCATGGAAACCAGCCCTCCTTCACCTGACAGCGAACAGGCTTAACACAGCTGAGGGAGATAATGACGATCAGACCTCGTGGTCTGTTTGAGCACAGTGGATGTATGAACATTTAAATATTTGCAAGAGGAGTCAGTTTATGATCCAGGCTTTTGTATGTCTAATATTTTGGTCTTTGCTTTGATTTGTTTGTATAGTTATAACAATGATTAACAGCATAATGAAAGCGCGCACAATCAATTTTTCAAACAATGCCTCGCATTGGGATGTTTTTTTAGACAATGTTACCTACAAAATTTTTATGCCATGAGAAATAGTCCAGTTGTGATCAGTGTGGTGGATATTGTTTAAAATGTGTTTAAATAATGAGATTGTTGGTGTCGGTGATGTTGACGTTTGTTTATTAGCCCAACAAAAATCCACTTTTGAAGAAAGACATTTTATTCACAGATTGCACATGTGATACATTCATATTGTTGTCAGTAAACAGCAAAATAATGTTTACAAGCAGCTGTTTGCAGAAAGCCATGAAGTAACTCTGTATGGGTTATCATCGTAGCTGCAAGAGCTTAAAAGGAAAAGCAAGTAAAACACGATTTTGGCTGTCATGCACTTGTAAAGGATCATACACTGACATTGCGCATCTTGATCTTGTAAAATTCTTCCTCTTTGATTTATTTTCTAGTGGCATCTGCTGCAACGAATATCAGCATTTTGTGATGACAAAACTTATATACATTTTATTTCAAAGAGAACGTTTTGAACAACTGTTGAATACATTTACAAAAATAAAGTGGTTAATGTGTGCTTATAATGATCATCTCACTTTTGTCCAAATGATTTTTTTGCATGTAATCTTGCAAAACATATTCTGCTTGATTGTATTAATGATGAATGTCTGAAAGAAAGTTTTTTTCTATCTTATACCCAGTTGCTAAAAATGAGACCTGCAGCCACCATCAGCTATACTAACTTGAGTATGAATACTGAAAACAGGTCACAAATTGAGACTCTTAGGCGTCCATAATATACTTTTGACAATACATTGAAAATAATCAGAATTGGTCAATACCTAAAGTCAATGTTTTCATCTAATTCTCATGTTTCGTTTGGTTTAGCTGATGATCTCCATCTGAGGCTTTTAGTCTGAGTCTCCGTCGTGAAAATCACAGATCTGTTGTGTCAAATATGGGGTTGTTGAAACCAACGTGATTTTTGACAGTATTTTTCTTCTCACCCAGCTGGGCCAGCGCAGAACCCAGAGCCTCACCGTCCTTTGACATATCGTCATATTCCTCCTCTTCCTGGATGCCCTTCTGTGAATCAGAGAGAGTTTTTACATTTTAAATGAAATTCTTATACTCAAAAATCCAGCTGATGGGTTTTACAATATGAACTCACCATGCTGTTTATTGTTCCTTTTTCATTGAATGTTTCGTAGTTGTTGTCCAGGGAGTTAAGGCTTGTGTGGGCAGATAAGGGAAAAGTTAGCTCAGCATGTAAGATTATTTAGTTATTTTTTATTTTTTGCTTTTTTTTAATCAAAATAATAATCCCATGGTGTAGCTAGGAGCAGAAAGGCAGCATTAATGAGCATACTGTGACAAAAAGACCACCTGAAAAACACAGGATGTTCATGAGGAAGCTGTGCCACGTGGCCAAGAGCAAACTACAGGGATTTACTTCAATGAACTGATTTAACAAACAAATAAGAAAAAGGATTTTCTTTACCTGACTTTGTCCACATCTGAACTTTCCATGTCCAGGTCTAGGGCTACAGATGTGGCAATATTGAGGTTCAGCACTGGGTTAGCACTGTTACAGAGTGGTGTTATAGACAAGAAGATAAAAGTTCAATGTTGAAAAACTTTATAATGTGTGATCTAAATTGAATAATCCTGCTCAAACAGATTTTCTCCTCACCCTTCCGTAGTGTACTTGTTAGTTCCAGGTACCACTGTACCAATCTTCTGTGTGTCCGAATTCCCCATGGATGCAGAGTTCCTGGCATTGGCTGCCTTCAGCTTCGTCCTGTACCTTTTTGTGTTACATAAACCCGTGGATGAGTTTTACTGGCATCAGTAGTTTTACAACTCAGTGACTTGTTAAGTGCTTGTCCCATCTCTTTTTCAAATTCCATTTTCTTACTTTTTGCGAGTGCACAGCAGAGAGGTGGTGAGGACAGCCAGCACAATGATGAGTCCCCCCACCATGCCCAGCAGGATATACGTCACAGGGTTTGTTGATGTCTCTGCCACGGGGACATCTCCCTGAGAGGAATGCAGGGAATCAGCAAGGATTCATCTCCAGTAGTGTTAAAGAAATTAAAGGCAACAAATGGTCAGACTTACAATGTTACTGAGGCCAAGTTCTATCAGTGTAGGATAATGGTCACGATGAGAAAGCATAGCTTCCACTTCAATAGAGGTGAGAGCTGTCCCATTGGGGAAGACAAAATATGCCACCATGATAGTCTTCGTCTCAGCCCTGAGCAGAAAATATCAAATACACACTGAGAGTTATCATTACCTCAAGTCACAATCAAATATGCTATTCTCTGGCACCACCTAGTGAACAAAACGGGATTTGTATAAAGGTGGAAAGAGTTTAAGCGTAAGATCGCCCAATATGTTTATATGTGAGGCCAGAAACAGAGGAAGCTTGCCTGGTAGTGCTAGAAACAGGTCTAATTTCGACAATTTCAACAGAAGCAGTGGTGGCAGATGTGAGTGCCCTGAAAAAGAAAAAAAAGAAATAAATAAACAGAAGATTAGATTTCTGAGTTTTCAGGTTCTATCACACACAGCTCACAGCTATCAGATTCAAATTTTACTCGGACAGTGCTGCAAGAAAAAGATATACCTGAGGATTTCACTTCGCTTGTTTTCAATTTCAATTTCAGATATCGAAAAAAGCAGCTCAACTTTGAAAGACTCATCAACTGTGAAAATCTGCAAAAGAAAAAAAACAGAGAAAAATCTGAAAAATCTGAAATGTTGTATCCTACGTGATTCTCAACCAGTGTCTACATTTTAATCACTGACCTCGAGCACACTGCTGGTGAAGAGGCCACCCCCATCAGTTGCTGTGACTGTCACAAAATATCTCCCTTTTAGAGTCAAATCAAGGCCTTCAGTGGTTCTGTGGAAAGGTGAGGAGTCAAAATGAAGCAATAGACAGATTATTACAAAAGGTATGTGTGCCCCCAAATCCCCAACATTAAAAACCGGAAGTGCATGAATACTGAGGCACTAAATGGCTGCAGTAAATGACTTAGTACTCACTGAACAATCCCAACAAAAATGTCCCTTTGTTGAGTGGTGACAGCCTCAAACACCAGCCTCATACTGGTCGTTTGGTTGTTTGTGTCCAGAAAGTTAATAGCTGTTACTCTAAACTCAATCTCACCATTCTCTCCGATGTCTCTGTCTGTAGCCTGAGAGCAGAAACAGGCATAACATCCTTTACAGTCAACATAAATCACATCTTTTGTTTTGTTTTGTTTTTTGTGTTTCACTCATACTCACAGTGACCCTGGCAACTGATGTCCCTCTGCTTGCGCCTTCTGACACAACAACTAACATCCAAAGAAGATAAATCAAATGTTAATGATGGTAAAGCATTTCTATGTTTTGTCATTATTAATTCACATTTACTTCCTTTTGACTTCGAACAGTAACAACAAAATATTTTGAAAGTTGCTGTATAAAACAAGTGGATGTCTACAGTGGAGCTTACTATTCCCTGGCAATAAACACTCACCAAATACAGAATCGGAGGGGATGAACTGTGGAGTGTTGTCATTGATGTCTTCGATGTTGATCACCATTTTTCCTGAATAAAAATGATTGAAAAACACAGTGAATAAGCTTTTGGGTAAACTATACATGTGCTGTGATTTTGCTGTGTTCTTGAGCTTTCATGGTCTGTAAACAGCACAATTCTAACCTGATGTTGCACTGTTGTTTTCCCCTTTCTCTGTGTATTCATCCATCACCTGAGCCTCTACAATGGCCTGTTTACATTCCTCATAGTCAACTGTTTCCTCTGGATTGACTCGAACTGCTCCATCGTTGTCGACAATGAACCAGTTGCAGGGGGTTTCCACGTCTTGACAAATGCAAGTGACAGACTCTAGCTCGTAGACCAAGGAAAAGTTTCCATCTTTATCAGTTGCTATGAATTTCCCAAGGCTCTCAGTCATGGTGGTGTTTTCCTTCACAGAGATGGGCCCTGCTGCCTGGAACTCAGGCCTCTCGTCATTCACATCCAACACGTTCACTTCCACCGTCACAGCAACTTTCTGCAGCTCCAGATCTGCCGCCTCCACCTGCAGATGGTATTGTGTGCGGGCGCCCTCGAAGTCCAGCTCAATGTCGGGGTCCACAGTGATGTTTCCCCTGTAGCCGCTCACATCAGAAAAGGTTCGAATGATGAAGCTGCCAAAGCTTCCTTCGACAATGCTGAAAGAAATGCGGTTGAAGTCTGTCGTCTGATCCAGATCCACGGCATGAACAGAGCCCACAAATGCACCTGAGTTCAAATAAAGAAATAAATAAGTACAGAATCTTCAGGTCTCATAATGAGCAGTTTAAAGCTTTGCAAACTGAAACACTTGCCTCTCTCCCCTTCTTTAACAGAGAATTTGTAAGATGAGGCTTGAAATTCTGGTGCGTTGTCATTGATGTCCTGACAAGATTCAGAGAGGAACGTTAGCGGTTACGATCACCAACATGACACCCATGACTTCCTACAGAGCTTACCTCCACATTGATGATTACTGGCACTGTGGTGGACAGTGGAGGACTTCCATTGTCGGTGGCCATAACAGTAAGCTCAATCCTCCCTCTCAGTTCTGGATCCAGAGCTTCCCGATCCAGTTCGCCACTATTTGTCAATACACCCGTGCTGGCGACGATGGAGAACATGCTGCTGTGGTTGCTTGGTACGATGCTGAATGAAATCTGGCTGTTTGGTGTATTTGGTTCATCTGTATCTGTAGCCTGTCAAAACCAGAATCATCAGAATAAAGGATTGAACTTAAGTGCATCAACATAAAACGAACAAATCTGAATCACTGAGCGGTTACAAGCTGAGTGAGCAATTATAAACACCGTCAGACTGGACCTTTATACCTCTATTCACTCTGTACCCCATCTGTCGGTCTGTACAAATACTTGGCAATTATTTGACTTCCCCAATCTCTCATAGCAGGCATTGCTCCCATTGTGCTTTTGCCTCACTGTCTGACCTTATTTTCATGTTTCACAGTACAAAGTTCCTACCCGAAAGGATATATGTTACAGTTACCATGTAATACAGGTCAGTTGACAGACTGAACAGTGCCCTCAGAGAAATTTGTGGTTTAAAATTTGCGAACAGCACTCGAGAAACTGACTAAACATACACTGACTGATTTATGTCACTACTTCCAGCCTCATTCACAAAGCCTCAAGTTAAAGTCACCAGTTTCTTATTTTTCTCACACACTTACCTCAATCTTGAGGTGAAGATCACTACCCTCTTGAACAAACTCTAGGTAGGAATCCCTGGGGATGACTGGGGACTGGTCATTGATGTCAAGCAGAGTGATCTCCAGCACTGTGGAGCCAGGTTTGTTGTCTGTGTCTCTGGCTTGCAGAGTGGCTGAATACAGGGACCTGACCTCGCGATCCAACAGAGTTTGGTTTTTCACGTAGACTTTACCTGTGCGCCGCTCAACGTCAAAGTACAGCAGTCTAAAACATAAATACACAATGTTCAGCGGGGTTATAGGCATCAGTTTACTCAGTGGCAGATAGCAGGAACTGGTTGGATTCAGGCATGATTCTGGTGAACACATACATGCTGTCAGGAAGAAGCCTGTAGGTGATGTTGCCTTGATCCATTGAGTCAGGATCGTCTGCCTATCAAATAAAAAATAAAAAGAAAATCTCTTTAAAAGCTCAAAGCAACTGGATACAAATTTAGGTTGAACAGACTTACAGTGATGGTGTCCAGAACCGTCCCCTCAGGAGAGTGCTCTGGAATTTCTAACCTATATGTGTCCTGTGGGAAGATGGGACTGTTGTCATTGGCGTCCTTTATGGTTATAGTGACTGTAGCGGTGGAGCTGTTTTTAGTTTCTGCATCCATGGCTATCACCTGCACCGTAAGAAATGGAAACATTAGAAAAGAGAATATGCAGTGATTTAAAGCTATTGTCAAAAAGACACAGTCCATTTAAACTTTCTACCTGAAGGATCATCTGCTGCTTTTTCTCATAATCAAGATTGTGGGGCTCCGTAACAAGAAGCTGAACAATGCTTTGTGACATGGTGACTGAAGGTTCCACAGAAAACACGTCTTTGTCAACTCCCGCTAGACTCAGTTCAGTTCGGGAAATCTGTAAAATCATAGAGCAGTTGATTGTGGCCGTTCGCTGATGTCACTTAGGATCTGAAACATATTACAAAAGCCATGACAAGTGAAAAAAAACATAATACTTTTGCACCTTATCCAGATCTATGACTGTCATGTTGATGGAAATGGACCCCAGGGAATGTTCCAAGACCTCTCCTGTGAATTCAGTTGCTTTAACACAGGTGCTTCCACACTTGTAAAACTCCGGCTTGTTGTTGTTGATATCCATGATGTTGATCTGTACTTTAGTTGTGGTGCTGGAATGGAGCCCATTGATATTTGGTTTGGACTCAGTGGCCTGCAATAAAACCAAATTATCCCTTTCACTAAAAACCTCAGGTCACCCATGTTTTGAGAAAATGAGAGAACACCTTTTGTCTACACAAAATGTGTAAACCAGTAAAACAAAGATGCTGACATAGTGGCGTGAAGATTGTTTTCTGTGACGTTTGGCAAAGAATGGAACAAGCACACAGTGCTTGGTCTGAAATAGCTTTTACTACTTTTCATCAAGTTTGAAATCAAGACAACAGAGAGTGGCAGCTGGACCTGTGTGTGTTACCTTCACTGTCAGCGTTACGACATCACCAACAACTTCTCTGTCAATCACTGACTGTACAGATATTAAACCACTGTCTTGAGATATTGAGAACAGATCCTCTATAGTGGCACCTGTCAAACATTTGAGAAGAAAATTAGAATAAAAATGCCCCTCCTTGAAAAAGAGAAAAAAAATTCTAAAGTACTCCTCACTTTCAATGGTGTAGATCATAACATCATTAATCCCTGTATCCTGGTCAATGGCTGTCACCTGTAAGACTGGGGAACCCTGTCAAAGGAGGAGGGAGTAAAAAACAGGTCTCTGAGAGGAGAAAGATTTAAGCTTCTCAACATTGACACATGAATCAAATCCAGCTCACCACACCAAGGCTGGAAAAAGAGCCTCACATACTTCACACTGGATCTTTTACATTGTATATTTGAAAAATAATTAAGTGAACAAAATCTATTGACACTCACTATAGCTGAGTATTCTGCAATGCTCCCTACATAAGGAGTGCCGATAAACTGTGGGTCGAGATCTGGGACGTCCTTGACCGTAATGAAGGAGAAAACACTGCTTGATTGGAAAACTACTTCATCAAACGCACAGGAGCCTCCACTGTCCTGAAAGAAGACACAGTCATTCAGGATTCTGCTGCCACAATGTTATTCACAGAGATAGGGTTACTGGTGCATATTGAAATAGTCCTTAGTAATTTAAAACAAAAAAATCTAAATGTAATTTTAGCTACAACATAAATTTAATAGAGATTCAAATTTATCAATTCAGAGTTTATTTAGTTTTGTTGCCTCAAAGCGATACGCCTGTTGATCGTCCTGTATGGACTTTTCATATTGTGTATGCAAGAGTTCTCTTAGGTTCCAAAAACATCTGAAGATTCACACGTTAAGTTAATAGGTGGCACCAAATTGGCCTTTGGAGTGAGTGGGAGATGGAATTATTGTCTATCTGGTTTTGCTCGGTGTGGAACTGTTCACACCGTACTCATACCCGCCTTTCGCTCAGAGACTGCTGAAATGATTGATCATGACAGGAAAATCTGATATAGTTTATTCATAATCATTCATAAACTGGCCTGCTTTGAAGTTAAGAAGTGCCCTGAAAATATCAAAGGAAGTCGCTTGCCTGGTTTAGACCAAACGAACAGTTGCATAAAGATAATAAAACTCCCAGAAAAGTAAACAAAACTGTGACATTTCTTTACTTTTAGGATCTCACATATTCAGTTTTTTTTCCAGTTTGAAAGGATTTTAGTTCTATAACTGATCAATCAGTGTGCTGCTATATAGACAAAGGATTATCAGGAACTGATGAAAGGTTATTCTAAAACTCCAACCGGACAGAAATGAATATCTAAATTGAAGAATCAGCTCAATTCCATTAGGTTTAAATTTCAAACTATTTCCTTGATCTTCATCAGCATCACAGACACAGACACATTCTAAAACATTCATACTCACAGTTGCACTAATCTTCATTCGATAGAAGGAGCTCAGCGAGGTGAAATTCAGATTCTTTTTCAAGGTGACATAACCAGTTGATGGAATTATTTCAAACATTTCAATTCCATTAGGTGGAGTCACCTGGAAAGAATACAACAGGGCCATTTTCAGACAGGTTCATCCTCAAACTGAGTTTCATGACTGATGTGGTTTACTGTTGGATCTTACCTCGTCGATGCTGTACCTAATAACCGCAGCAAGTCCTGTGTCAGCATCACTGGCTTGCACTTGGTATAGAGATGTACCCACAGTTGTATTCTAAAAGCCAAGGAGAAAGGACATTTTAGAGCTGACTGCAACAACAGCAACTTTATGATAGATGGACACCTTACTGTAACCCTGATCTTCACCAGTGGAAAATAAGTGGATCCAAATGATCTTTTGGATATTTTTCACTTACTTCTGGGATCTCAATGTCATAAGAAGGCTGTTTGAATAGGGGCCTGTTGTCGTTGGTGTCGTTTAATATGACGGTTAATGATCCTCTTATCTGAAAAACAAAGCCCTTGATGAATAAAAGCTGCATGCATCATTAAATGAATAACCAGTACTAACTTAAACACCACTTACGCTATTAATATGGTCACTGACACTAACTCCAACCATCATTACGTCCCCAGCCTACAATAGATGAATTCATTCAACACATAAATGTTCAATGAGTGTGAAACTTTTTACACATAAGGATTCTCCAATTCCAACCCACCATACCTCTCTGTCTAGTAGCATTTTCACTGTTACACGACCCGTGTCACTCTGTACGTTGAAATATGTAGCACCAGAATCAGTGAGTGAGAAAGTCAGGGGGTCGTTATCCGCATCTGATGCAATGATGTCAAATGCATAGCCACCTGCGAACATGACACAAACAGATGATGCTCTGATTTGTGACTGTATGATAAGGCAAAGCTGTAACAAGAAATAAAAAGCTAACCTAAAAAGTGAACATTTAACACACAATAATACCTTCGGGGGTGTCTTCACACACAAAGTAGACGTTTCTGTTGATTGTAGGACTGCTGTTGGCTGCACAAAAACAACATGTCAATGTTAAATGTCTGGAAAACGGGACATTTGAAATTGTGTAAAGTCCTCTAAATACAAACCTCTAACAAAGCTGACCAGGGATATCAACAACAGGCTTCCTGTTAGCGCCCCCATGTCTTCAAATAAAAGGAAAGATAAGAACTGGAGAAATGACTTGACATTACATACAAGCAGGTATTTCACCAAATTATTAATCATTAAAGTCATAAACCACAAATTAAGTGGATAAATACATAATTCCAGTACCAAAAACACAGAGAAAGCGTAACATTCTAAAATAATCTTTTCTAGAACACATAAATAACATTAAACTTTACAGAGGATGCAATCTATAAGATAGTTCTACAGGGGAACAAGTGTCAACTGATGTAATGTCAGCAAAGTTTTTAGAAATATTTTTCATATATTCTCACATAATGAGGAAGTCACCGAATGATCCAAAGGAAGCAAACATAAGACTAAGAAGGGGCTTAAACTCATTACATCCAATATTGGGAAGAAAGTCTTTACCCGTAATCAGATTTCTTACTATTGTAAACATTTGCCCTGGATTTCTGTTCACAAATATGACTTTCAAGTCTGTTCAATGAGATCGCCACAAACACTTTTTATTTCAGCCAAATAAAGCTGCTCAAATTAAAGACTTTATCGTAATTCAGTCAGCTGATCTTACTGATATTACTGTCCACAGACAATATAAAGTGTATTCAGAGTAAATTTTCCTAGGCAGGAACCTCAACAGCAGCCAGGATCATTAACGCAACCCCTTTTAATAAACATGTTAACCTCCACAAGCAGAGGTTTGATTATCAACAGTAGGTCATAAAACATGAAAATTGCACTTCCTTATTTGTAGGCTGATCTAATACAGGGGAAAACAGAGACACCAGCAGCTGAGCTAACAGAGAAAGTGAATAAAAGTTAATATAACTTCAACAATTGTTTATAATGACTATCTGGTTGGCTCACTGTGGTTGTGCCACAGTGAACATTGTGGAACAACACACTTATAAAGACCAAATTTACTTTGTCTACATGGATTTTCAGCAGAAATACAACACACCGAGAGCCGAGATGGGGCTATAAAAAAGAGTTCCCAAGTTGATCAAGTTGTTTCGTGCTGCTGGGCAAAACACATCTTTTCAGACTAGTCTGGAAACAGTTGAACACAAACGGAAAGCTGCTCTTTCCCTGATTTATATGGGCCGAAATTTCACATTAAATTGCATATCTGGCCACACCCAAACATTATGAGAGCAGATGACGAGAAACACCTGGAGTTTCATTTACAGAGAAAGATGTAAAGACTGATCTTAATGAACTGACTTAAAAATTGAAATTATATCAATTAAATAATTCTATTACCATTATATTTTCTCTTTTAGAACAGAAAACAAATATTGGGCCATCTTTGCAATAGTTTGGTGTTCACTAAAGAGCTGTTACTTTAAAGGCATTACTTCCACTTTTATGTCAAGATGACATTTCCTAAAATCATTCACAACAAAATGTTACGATTGTTTGAGGTTTTGGATGTTCTGAAAAAAAAACATGGAATAATACTACCGATAAGAAAGTTACGTTCAATGTTGTATCTTTAGTAGATTAGGGATATAGTTTTTAGAACCAATACATTTTCTCCTGTAATTTTCAAAAGATAAGGGGTAGGGCACAGCTGTCTTATGAATTCATTAAGCACCATGTCAACTTTAAACTCACAGAAATTCAAATCTGTTCATTAATGACACTTTCTTTTTCTTTTTTTACTGAGGTTCAACATGTTGTCTAGTCACTAAAAAGCATTACACTAATAATTTCAAAAGATTAATTAGATTCCAAAAGCAGCAGCCTGACTTACCTGGCGATATTGACAGAGGACTTCTTTGTACTGATGTCTCTGAGACCTTTGGCTCTTGTTTCTACCAGCGATTGACGTGTCATGCGTCATAAACATAAATGATTAACATGCAAAAGAAAGATGCCACCAATAAAGTCGCACTAAACCTCCTCCCTGCCTCACGCAATGTTGGATAAATATTTTTTTTAAGTTTTCACAGATCAGAGGGCGTTAACTCAGGGTTAACTGAGCAATAGTCAAGTGCCATGGGGCTGAGTTATGGCTGTTTGAAGGGCTGATCATGAGATACATCTTCCACAAACCAAACTCCTCCCTCCCTCCTTCCTCATTGACAGGCCAGCTCTGTTGCCAGGAATATGATGCACTGGGCCATACAGGGCCAACAGTGCGAATACCACAGCCAGAGGCACTGAAACTGTCCCGCTATCTGAATAGGAGCCCATATTGCCATGGCAACAACATTAGACTATTTGCTTTCATTGAGTAAATCTAACATGACGGGGGTTCTCTCATCACACACATATCTCATCAGAACCAATCAGCGGGCCGGTGTCGTGTTAAAAAGCCCCTGGATCCAGTCTCGGTGAAACCCTCCTCCCCCTTTCACCCGTCCTCTTCTAATTAAGGGGCATCACACAAAGAATTGTGCTCTGTTGCACCCGCCAGCTTGATTCATAATTAGACGTTTTCCAGCTCTCTACTGGGACAGAAAATATTTGCCAGGGTTCAAATTGGGATGGTTGTGTAAAAGGAAAAAAAAACTAGAAAAACATTTCCTGCGAGTGTGTAAAACATTACATACTCATGGAACGATGGTGCTTTGAGCAGAATGATTATGCCAGAATGCAGGAAGACTGCTTTGATGATCCATTTAGTTTGCTCAAAAGCAGACATATTAGTACCTTGGGTATGAATGGTAACTTTGCAAGTGCGAGGGCTCATAAATGAGAGTCAAGTAAAGTTAAGGCCTCACTATAGTAGCAGAGGAAAAGTCAGAAATGTAAGCATTTTGAACTACAATGACAGATGTTGAGGTCGGTGTTGATGCATTTAGTTTAGAGCAACAACTGAAATAACAAAGAACAGATTAAAAAAGGATCTAGCCTGATTTTAGGAGATTTTCAAATTTATCTTTTTGGTTACTATTTGGAAAAATGTACAGCTGAGCAGATAGAATGACTTTATGACAAGAACTGAAGGGTTTACCAAAGTTCATGCCTAAAGCAAAGTTAATATTACTCCACCTAAAAGATCCCATCATTTTACAAAAAAGATACAAACATCAATCATGTGCTAAAGGCGCCCACATTATTTGTAGCCTGAACCTCAGTTATTCACTTCACTGACAAATGAAATTTGTTGATATAATCTGGATTTACACGTTGATTTGAAAAAGTTAAGAACAATGAGTGAGGTGTTTGTTAAGATGTTGAAAGTGGTTTGGATGGAAATCAGTGCAATCTTTTGGTTTCTTAGCTCTCAAAGTTTTTTTGTATTAATCTTACCTATCTGGGATTTCATGACCCCTGCGATGGACTGGCGACCTGCCCAGTGTATGATGATAACTTAAAATCTAATAGACTCAAATTCAATTGTATTTCTTAAATGCCTACAGAAGACACTTGTTGTGATTTGTTGCCCAAAGAACTAAGCTGAACTGAATTTAACAGAAATGTAAAAGCCATCTTCGGAACCAATTAACCTAGAGTGATCATGGGGAGTCTCCCGTATAAAAAGGCAATGCTTCAGAAATGTGTACATCTTAAAAAAGAGGGTGTGAGTGGAAAAAAGGGAAGGACACAAAGATAGTCATGCATTTACACCAACTTAGTAATAACTGGTTATTACTGACGGTAACATCATGGATGATATGGAGATAATTCCTATAATGCTATTCGAGTCTTATCAAGTTAGACTTTGGTTTATGGCTTACACTAAAATCAAGATGGCCACTCCTGAGCCAGCAGTACAAATACATCTACGGGAGGGAACATAATAAAATCCTTCCTAGGCAATACCAGTAAACAAAAACAAAGTGATAAAAATGTAATAATAAATGTCTAAACTATAGTATATATATACATATGTCAGGGTCAATCAGAGAACTATAGTTCCACATATACAAGATTGTGATTGACGATATAAATAAGTAGTTCACCCATTAGCTCACGATATTAAAATCAAAGTATTTACTGTTGTGTTGAAAGAATATAAAAACCAGTCCAAATAAATATGATACAATTAAATATAAAGTCCAGGTGTGTGTTGTTCTGTGTTTATATTTGACAATCTTCATGCCAAATTTGAGCATCCAAAATTGCATTAGCTTTATTTTCTTTAATCTTTTAATTTCTTGTTCTACTCATATTTCTTCTCATTTGAAACCATTTCACATAAATAGTACTGGTTTATATAGTTTCGGATTTTAGATAAGAAATGTATTCATTTTGAATTTGACATTGATTCTTTATTACATTTATTCTTTTTTACATATGTATTTAGATTGTATCATTCTATTTTATTTCAGTTGTTCATTTTGATTTGATTGATCACATTATGTATCTGTAAACTTAATATACGATTTGGCTCATAACTATATATGTAAACTAGTGTTACAGTTTACACTGGTACACTTTGTAAAAAAGGGTAAATACAGTCTTAGCTGAACATATACAATTACACCATGCCAAAAATAAAGCAGAATATGAATGTACTTGTGTAAAAAATAACTCCCACCTAGTTTTGAGTTAAACATGGTTCTCTCTTTCTTTTCGTCCTTAGTTCATTTAATAATTATTTTATTTTAAAAAAAGCACCTTTCATGCCACTCAAGGACACTTTACAGAGACAGACATCATAAAAACAACATGGAAACAAAACAAACATACAATAAACACATCCAAAACATCATGAATGAATAATACATTTAAAAAATTTGGTTTGTATCTTCAAAAGTCCCTCCAGATCATTTTTATAATATGTAATCAATTTATAATATTGATTTATATAATCACCCTTACCCATATTTCCAGCTGCTATTTTTTCCGAATCGAAATTCTAAATGAGGACAGTACCTACCAGTGTGACTTACAGGGGAATGAACGCCTAGGATGATTATGAATTACATTCCATAGTTTCCATATAACAGATTCTTATTCACAATGTGGCCTGAGAAATGCCAGAAAAAAGGGGTCCCAATAAAACAAACCATTTTCAAACCTGCTAACATAAACCGTTTCACGTATGACTTTTTTGAAAGTGTCCCCATGGTGTCCTCTTTATATGAAAAAGCCTTCTCCCCCTTTTTGTCTTGAACTTGTTACTCGTAAAGACTGTTTTCCGTTCATTACGGTAAAAATGGCTGCGCGGCGTGCGCTCCTCTGCTCATGCACCACGCAGAAATGGGGGTGTAACGGGGAACTGCAGAGCACCAGATCGTCCACAGGGGTTTGTGATCACTTCCGTGAGGGAAATGTGGCTGTGGTAACCTTCCTATTGTCGAGGGTTTGGAAGCCGGAGTCCTGCGCGTCCCCTCTGCTGCATGTGCAGATGATGTAGACGCCTTCCACCCCACTCCCCCGACAGTGGAGAAATCCACGGAATGTTCCACATAGGAACAGCTGACCACAGGATGCCGCACTTAGCCTAACGAGATGTGAAGATTTGCGAGGAAAACACCTGCGATCGGATGGTTGCATTCTAACAATCAGGTAATCGCACTCCTCTCCCCGTTGCCATTTTGCTCGACCCGATTCTGAAAAGTTGCGGAGCGTTTTCAGCGCAGGCGGTTTGACAGCTTGTTGGGGCTGTCATCCTGCTCAGTCTTCAGCCCCTCCTTGTTTTGCTGCTACCGAAAGCGATGTTGTAATGTTTACGTTCAGCCTATGTTGCATACGGCTCTCTCTCTCCTCCAGCCGCTTTGCTTGACATGCACAGACTGGGGGCCCTCAGAAAGGGCCGATGCGATCCAATACTACACCGACAGACATCCCAATAAAGCCATACTGGGTTGTTTTTTTTTAACCAATTGGGCCCGATAAATTAGGCCAAATTTAGATCGACGATTAAAAGGTGAAGCTGGATGGAGAATCCTTTGGAGCTGCATAAGAAAAGGAAATAGATGCCAAAGTTATCTCATGCCAAATGAGCGCTTTTCTGACTTGATCGTGCAAAGGCAACATTACATAACCAGCTGGGTACAGTCTGGAGCACGCTGGCCTCCGATGAGATCCAACTCAGACTGGGTGCAACAGAGATCTTTAGGGTTGTGCACTTTAATCCTGTCATGTGTTGGGCTGAATGTAAATAATTAAAATACTTCTGAAAGCTATCGATTGTGAAGACTTCTCTAAAGGAAGACAGACTGCCTCATGGGGTAAAGTGTTTCGGAGAAAAGTTCCATGTTGCAGGTTCAACTGATGCTCAGATGTATAAAAGTCTTACCTCCTCTGGAAGTAAATACTTGAGCTTTGTAAATTATTTTAAATTGGACGGTCGGTAGTGGTTTAAACCATGTTTACAATTAATACAAGTGTCAACACTTTAACCGGCTGATACGCTTAAAAGTTATATTTAAGGATTAAGGGTTTTAAAGACTAGAGCTAAAACTGACAACATTATTTGGGGACTTTTAAAAGACTTTGAAAATATAAGCTTTTTTTTCCTTATTTGTAGATTAAATTGTGCCGTGATCCTCACATCATTTATAATCGTGCCTCACAGCAGTAATGGATTTAAAGGTAGCTACATAGTTACTTAATGTGTCCTAACAACGTACTGGGGAGACTTTTGCAAGACACTTTTGTTTATAAGCGCTAACGACAGGAACTGCTTGTTTTGATACATTGTAGCCATGTCTGTCTGGATGTCTGTTGTCTGCTTTTGCTGCCTGCTGATTGGTCGCTCGCTTAAGGAGGCGTGGTTTTGTCATAACAATGCTTTTCAAGGAACATGCACGCGCCAAGGAATGTTTTCTGTCGTTAGTTAACTAACGTTACCTTTTACCCAGCGTTTGACTGCATTTTTGTTTTGCTCGCGTAGACGGTGACGGTAGCAGACGGTCCTTTTGGGCAGTTCACGGAGAAAACGTATTCCCTATGCAGCACTTGAGAACGTGCGTTAGCCGGCTAACGTTAGCAAGCTAACGCTATATCTGTTAGGAAGATTGTCAAAAAAATTATCGGAAGAAACGGTCATTTGACTGCATGTTTAGTTTTTTTAGCGAAAGATGATGGTCGATTATATACGAGGATAACTTAATGGGACGGGATACATCGGAATCCAAAACACCTGCTATCTTTTTCTGTGACCGAGCAAGAAAAACTAGCAAATAAAGTAAGATGTTGACTGTGTTGTTCATTAACGTATGGCTAAACCGTCTAATAGACAGGCACTGTCTACGGAATACTGTGTTGCAAGTGCGTGAGCCTGTCCTAACTCTGTATTAGCATGTTGGGCATCTGTCGCCAGAGTCCTGCTTTGTCGGACAAAGCGTTAGCCTAGCTTGGCTAAATTAGCTGCTCTCCTTCAGCAGGGGACATTACATTTTCACCAATTATAAGGGCCCAATGCTTGCCACAAATCTGTAGTTGTCCAATTATTTAGACAATGCATTGAAGGCGTTGTTAATCGCTTGTAAGAAATGCTCCAACAGTACTAAACTGTCAATTTGTACGTTAGCAAGCGGTCCTTCTTACTCACCACGTCTTTTGTTGTTGCTTTGTCTCCTGAGCACATGGCTTTCCATGTTTTTGTTCTGGTATGCTACAGCGAGCTCTTTTAAATTACGTTCAAAATATTTACCGTTAACATTTTCTAAATGAACAGTTTCATGAGTAATGATCTCAGTAAACGTTTATAACCAAGTCTTTGTTTTACCATGTAAAACCTAGTTTCATGTGTAATCGAGCGGAGATTTGAATCCCAACACGTTATTCCGTTTAGGCATCAGTATCCGAAAACTTTCAAGATTTTCATGTTTTGCCGTCACGTCATTTTCATTAGGATTTAGAAGTAAAATGTTAACTTATATTTTGTATTAGACATTTTTAACAGTCTTTAGTTTAACATATGCTTAAGAATTATTGGTGCAAAAACAAGTGCTTAACACCAAGGAAAGTTCTGCTGGATGTTGATTGAATTTGACATGGAATCAACTTTTGTGCCTTTTTCTTAAAATGCTATATGAATAAAGCTGAACATTTAAAGTATGACAGAACTGGAAACCTTTCATAAAGCAAAGCTTAAAAGAAGCAATGTGGCACAGAGAGCACAATTGTTAAACTGTTGGTCTTTTCCACAGGGTTAAGACAATCAGAGGCAAACATACAAGTGCCTCCACTGTACGGTTTCCTTTCCCGGAGAGTGACTCGTCTGCACGACGTCACCAATGCGACCATGGGAAATAGCAGTAAATAGGCTGCCACCAACAGCCCCCTTAACCCCGAGGAGGTTCCTTGGAGAGCCGTGCAACGCTCCAGTGCATCTCAGGAGAAGGTAGAGATCTATGCGCGTGCAACATTTCTTTTAATAAAATTGTTAGGGGCAGGGGGATGCAATGTTTTACACAATCTGACGGGGAGAAAAAAAGATAACTTTGTTTGGCTACTGTGTTTGCACCATCTTCACAGAGGCAGAACAGTTAGTGGTGGCTGCACATAATCCATCCGATCAGCGAGAACACCCCAAATATGTTATTTGCTGTAACAGGCATCACACAGAATGTCATACAGCAAGATTTATGTTTTTAAGCAAAACTAAGTTCATTGAAACAAATGGTGCGCAAACAAAAGCAAACAAAAAAGCAGAATATTCTAAATTAATCCACATTAGTCACACTCTGAAGATTAAATACAATTAAACCAAGCAACATGGTATAAGGTGCCATCTTAACACTACTGCCCCATGTAAAGGTAAAAAGATCAAAGAGTGAGTGGAGCTACATGCAGTCCTTAAATAGTGCCATCAGCTGAGCTTAATTAGGGGAGGAGTGTGTGTCTGGGCTGAGCAACAAGGGCAGGAGGAAAGGATAGATGTGGTAGCTTTGGAAAGTCAGAGAAAGAAAGGAAGAAAAATGTGGATGAATAAAACTTCTGAGCTGCACCAGAATTCTGAAATCTATAAGTGATTGTATGAGGCTTAACATTAACCAGGAGATAAATCCTCCTGTCAGAACTGTATTCTTTTTGGTACATTTTACTGGTAAATAATTTATGCCGCTATAAATCTTTCTTATAGATCCTTGCTCTTTTCTAAGAGATAATGAAACAGCATGTCCCTGACAATAGAACAACTAATGTTATTAATTTAATTGAAATGCTAAATTTGCCACTTTATTTTGATTGAAGAATGTTGCCTATCACACCATCAGCACAATTCCTCCTAAACCTATGTCGTTATGTTTATATGATACAGAAATATGAAATGTAAATTAGGTTTAGGAAAGCTGAGGAGTTCATACTGGCTCATTTCTGATTTAGATCATTAGCTCAGCAGTTACTAGCTTCAACAACTAAACAATTAAAATGAAACCTTCTGTTTCTATTTCTGCTGTATGATGGATACCATATTGACCAGCCAAGGGCAGTTAATAATTTTTTCGTTTCTGTTTGACCTCATAGCCCACCTGTGAGACGCCAGTGGGGGAGACGAGACAGACCTGTGCTGCAGACCTCTCCAGTCCAGGATGAGAACTTCCATCATCTGCTTTTCTCCCAACATCACCAACAGGTTCCTTTAGATGAGTCCCGACAGTACAGCCACACCAGCACAGCACCACGGATGCTTCACCCTGCTGCTCACCTGCCCCAGCAGAACCCCATCATGGTGGATCTACACGACCAGGTAGCGGCACCTTCAGGCTGTTCTGTTCTCTTTGTGGAGGAAAAACGTGGACTAACTCCATAACACTCCCACCTCTGTCCTCGAAAGATGCACCAGGGATCAGTTCCGATATCATACACTGTTACAACGGTGACGACCCATGGATTTCCCATCCACACCGGGCAGCCCCTTCCAGGGTGCAACACTCAGCAGCTCCCAGCATGCTCGGTAATGTTCAGCGGACAGCTCTCTCTGCTCTGCTGCCTTCCTCCTCCTGTGAGTTTGAAAAGGAAGAGCTTAAATGTCAGTGGCATCCATGTAGCACACCATACCAGCCATGCACTTCGTGACTGTTCATGACAAACAAGCTTTTGCACAGTAATTAGTACCAGCTAAGCAATATGCTGTGGATTCTTCTTTCTTTTTTTCTGGAAGATGTAGTGATGTTGTTGTTGCAGCTCTGTCAGTGGTGTTTTCTGCAGCGCATTGCTTTGGTTCACAACTTGCTTTCATTGTAGCCGCCTCATTGTGAGTGTTAGGTGGAAAAACGCTTCTGTTTGGTGGAGGCTTCTTCAAAGAGTCATGCTCCATCTGAACTTTAATATGTCTGTTCTTGTCTCCCTCTCCTTTCTCCCCAGCTTATACAGGCATGTACCATGCAGCATATACCCGTGTCTTATCAAGCCTTTCCACCCCTGATCTCCAGCGAACATTTTGTATTGCACCCAACCCCATCTGTGCCCCCCCACCAGCCGCCGCACCTTACTCCTTTGAGCCAGTTTGTCCCTTTACAGCCTCAGCACCCACGCATGGTGAGTGGTGGACTTGGTATTTTTGAGTTATTTAAAAAAAAACACAGTTCGTTCAAAAATGTGTGATGTCTAACAGCAATCCTCTTCTCTCCCCGCCAGCCTCTACAGAGGGTAGACAATGAAGTTGACCTTAGAGGGGACCAGCACCCATTGGGCACCTTCTCTTACCCTCCCTCTCATCACCCACCAGCGCTGCCTCCATCACTGCCCCTACAGTATCTTCCTCAAGAGCCTTTGCATCAGGATCTTCCCTTCGGAGTGGTGAGAAAGCCTGTTGGACATTTAATATTCAGACTTCCACGTGGCAATTGACAACAAAGACACACCCTTTAAAAAAAAAAAGAAGGATTGAGCTATTTTAAATCTGTTGAGTGACACATGTTCATAACTGGAGGATGTGTATATGTATTCTTCAAGTGCTGCCTTATGAGCAGCCTGGGCCTGAATATTTTTGCTCACAGGCACCTCAATAGTGTTTTTGTATGTAGCCAGAGGGTAAAACTGAGTAAGTCTTTACCTGACACTTTCTAAAGTAGCCATTGTTATCATGACTCAGTAACTGGATTGTGTTTCTAGTAGTTTGTTTGCCTGTATTGACTTCAGTCAGATTTAGGAAGAACAAACTGTTGATTTCCTGATAAGATAGCACTAACATTTAAAGTAAAATATGTATGTTGACAGAAATAAATAAAAGAGTTGTTAATACCCCTAACCAAACCTATGAGAGCACTTTACCGAAGCAAGAAGTAAGTTATTTACAGAGCAAAAAATGTTACATGACTGTTTTTAAAGAGAAATGTGACAGAACTAAGTAAGTGAGGATGAAAGATTGAAAAAGGCCAATATGGATCAACTTTTGTCTCATAAATGCAAAAAGAAATAAAATGATCCATGCTCATAGAAGCATAAAGTAATTATTTTGTGGACAGGAGGGGGCATTTTAAGTACAGTTCTATTTTTTATTTAACGTTTAACCTGGAAAACTGAGTTGCTTCGTTGTGGAAAAGTTCTCCGACGTACCCATGTACCAGGTCTTATGACCGAGCTGTCATTTTCCAGTTTGCAATGCGACATAGAAGGCAACAGCTAATCAGAGCCTCAGGTTTGACATAAGTCAGTTGATCTGTTTTGATTTTCTGCTCTTTTCATGTTCTCTCCAGCCATATCCCAACGTGCTGCCTCGGCGAGTGAATGGACAGAGATATCGGTTGCAGCAGCCTCTCCCCCCTCCTCCTCCCCCTCCATCTTACTACCCAGGCTTCCTCCCTTACTTCCTGTGAGCATTTACTAAAAAAAACATGTTTACAAAGGAACAACAAAGTAGTAGATCTCTCTCTCTCTCTCTCCCTCCCTCTATATATATATATATATATATATATATATATTATATATGTTGGGTTTTTTTAAGAAAGAAAAATGACTGTTGTTCATACTCTGAACACCAGCCTAGTGTAGGTTACACAACGTTTCTTCACGATTGAATGTTGTGATATTTGCAAAGCATGTCCCACTTCCTGACATGGTGGAGCTGATTGGAGCAGCGTGGGCTCATCGGATGATGCTTCTCTCTCTGCTCAGGTCAATGCTTCCTGTGCCTCCAACAGCAGTGGGCCCAGCCATCAGCCTCGACCTGGATGTGGATGATGTGGAGATGGAGAACTACGAAGTAAGTGACCTAGTTAGAAGCTAGAAAAGCATATTAGACTACATGATGCCTTGTGAAGGAGGGTGGACAGTTGTGAAGCATCACCGCACACCCCGTATTAAAAGCTCATCTTCAGACATGTATCAGCTGACCACTTTAGATATGCAGGATATTCATGACATCCAAATGACACTTTACCATAACCCATAACTCTGACTTTGTTATACATACAAAAATATTGCTAAATTGTCTTTCTTGCCCTTTTTTTATAAGAAAACTTAAATTATCAGCAATGTGCATTTCTAAAAATTACATCGCCAAATGCAGGTAGAAGCCGGTATTGGCAGCAAAGTTGTTAGGGCTATCCGCGGAAATAAAAGAAAATGTTTCCACAATGTAATTTCAGTTTGATATGGCAGAAAATGTTGGTTGTCTCCAGTTGGCTGTGTCTAAAATACAAGGCACATACAAACAAAACAGAGCAGAAAACTTGAAATCCAAAGATATTGTACAGTAAAAGAAAGGTAAACTAAAACCTAAACACACACTTTATTGGGCTGTTCTATAATTTTTGTGACGAGTCTGAAGTATAAGACACAAAAAAGGTGCCGAAGTTCATCAAAAACTCCCGTTGAGTCAGTCCGACTTTCTGGCCTGACACGGCTCCCACGGTCTCACGTGATCTGCTCTCTCTCCCTCTCTCTCTCTCTCTCTCTCTCTCTCCCTCTCCAGGCATTGCTGAATTTGGCAGAGAGATTGGGTGAAGCGAAACCACGCGGACTCACAAAAGCAGACATAGAGCAACTTCCATCCTACAGATTCAACTCAGAGAATCATCTATCTGAACAAACGCTGTAAGCCTCTGCGACCTCTAAGCAAAACTTTTAAGTCATTCTCTGCTGCCGCCACGGATGATGTATATGATGGTAACTCTCTCTCCTCCCCACAGATGTGTTGTATGCTTTAGTGATTTTGAGTGCAGGCAGCTACTTCGGGTATTACCGTGTAACCACGAATTCCACGCCAAGTGCGTGGATAAATGGTTAAAGGTAAGTCGACTTTTAAGGCCTTGTGTTGTTTTACACAAGTACAGCTAGTGGATTGTGGGGTTCGTTTGCTATGCTGTCGTTTTCTGGCTTCCAGACCAATCGCACCTGTCCCATCTGCCGAGCCGACGCCTCGGACGTACACCGGGAAGCGGAGTGAGAACACGCTCTCTCGAGTGCCCAACTGGAAAGCTGCACACACCAGAGTCCGTCTCTAAGCTGGAGACTCCTGCCACCTAACCTGCGTCCTCCAGTAAATATAGCTTAACGGCCCACCACTCCCATCCCTCCCTAAACAAAAAGCAATTCAGGATGGTTTCTGGAGCGCGTTGTACCTCTGCTGTGCTTCATTGTCCGAGTCTCATGAAACCCACTGCCTACTGCAGCCTACAGCCAGAGTTCTGGGATCCACAGCCAGTCCTATCTCTGCCCCCGTGTTGCAGATTCCAAAGAATTTCCCTACAATGCATTGTTTGCTGCTTTTGTTTACAGGGTTTCGTTTATATTTAGTGGATTTGGTTGTGGTGTTGACAAAAATGTGGGGGTCCTTGCTTTGGAGAAGAGTCGGTGGCCTGGAGGATTGTTGGCTAGACGCTCTGTGCAATTAGCAGAAAAAGAAATACTTGGACGTGGGTATCTGTGTTTGGAGGCGCCGCCTAACCATCATAGATGCATGTTTGTGTAGGTGTTTGGCAAAGTGACTTGTTAATAATGTATGTTCTGCAATAATGTATCAGTCCTTTTCAACAGTTTTACCCCTATTTGTTTTTCAACTTTGCCGATGCTATTGTGAGAGCATGACTTGCTACAGTTAGAGGCGGATTCCGTTAAGCCAGAGGTTTTGGACTGCAAGTGCTGGGACATGCAGCTGCAGGGTGTCTTCTCGCCCTGATAATCCACTCTGGAACACACATCAGTACAGCGGCAGTCACGGATTAATGGACTGCATCTTTTTGAGGTCATCTGGCATAACTGCACAAGTGCTACATCCACCCTCCATCAGCATCGTTCCTCTGGCAAGTGTGTGGATGTGTGTGTGCGTGCGCACGCGTGTGTGTGTGTGTGTGTGTTGTGTGTGTGTGCATATTGTGTATGTTTGTCCTGTTGACAGAGCCAATGCATTGTGTAACCACTGGATACAGGGCAGCATGCTAGGATTTGCATGAACTGTTGATTCAGACTAGCAATATTTTAATCAAGCATCGCCACCAAAATTATCCAATTTTAAGAAAAAGAAGAGACAAAGACGCATACTAAAAAGAACTGCTTGCTCACTCAGAAAGCGCCATGAGGGAAGACTGGCACGCGGTTACAGCCCGACTGTGTTAAAGAGCGGAAGACCTCCTATGAAGGCCTGTGCAGAAAGCAATATGTGCAACAAGCGGGGAGTTTTAAATGAACATTTCTTCCCCTTTTTAGGAAGACCTGGGCTTTTTATTTCTTTGTTTGCGAGCCAAATTCAATATACACATATAGCCTACTGTTAAAAGATTTCAGATCTGCCTTTTTATGACCTTGACAAGCACAAACCTGTTATTAATCCTGAGAACATGTCGTCATTTCCACTTGTTTTAAAATGATTTTTTTTAAGGAAAAAAAAAAAAGGTTTATTTATTGGTTTAATCTTTTGAGAGAAAATCCATTGACAAAACAGTAGGAGCACTAACAATGTGTAAGGTATGTGTTATAATCTGGTAACGCGGTCAGGCCATTGGTAATGGTGTTGTGAAAGAGCAACCGTATGTATAGCTTCAGTGTGAATGCTTTTCGATAAATGTTTGAAGACAGAAGAATGTTAAAAACCCTTGTAGAAGTCACTGGTGACGCTCCACGTTACACCAGCTGTCTGTATTCGCGGTGATCAGATCAAGCTTCAAACGGCACACAGCTAGAGTGTTCAGTAGTGTAGAAACACTGTAAGACTTCTTGTCCCCCTGCTTGTGTTAACACTAGTAAAACAGGATATTTTTTGGGGTGGTAGAGGAAAGAGCAACATGAACTATTGCTTTGGATTCACTCTTGTCTCTCAACTGCCCCATTAAGCACTAACAGGCAGTTGTGACCTTTGCTCTGATGCGTAAAGGGATCTTGCCTTTTTCTTTATTTTTTGTTTCTTAAGTGAATGTGAGTCTTTGACGTGTGCCACCTTCAAGAGAAAAAAAGAAGCCATTTAATGAGTTAAACCCACAGCTTTGAGAATTAACCTATGTGTACATATCTAATCGCTGGCATATATTGTAAGTTTAAAAAAAAAAAATCACTCAGGGCCTCTCGGTATATAAAAATAAAGGAGAACAGTCCATTTCAGATGAAAAGGATGCCATGAAAAGAATATAACTGAATTTAGTTTGGTCCTTTTCCTCAGACCATAAATAATTTAATGTAATCAATTATAATATTCAGTTTTTGTCTTAAATAGTAGATATTACACCATTTAAAGACAGGCATGCAAGAAAAAAAGATCAGTAAATACCTTAACAATATTCACTAAAAAGAAGCGATGTACACTGCAACTTATTACGAGTGTATAATTCAGACCTGTTAGACCTTTGTTCTCGTACTCAGACCATATGTTCAGACATAGCGGTTGTGACGCCATCTCTAAATGTGCCACAATGTGCACTACTCTACCTAATCCACTCTTAAAATCGACAACCAACGTGTTTGCATGACTTAGGAAAAGGAAAAAAAAAACAACAAAAAAGGCTTTTTAAAAATAAAAAGGAAAACAAGTGTGTTACAGCAGAGGATGTCTCAAAATCCAGTGGGGACCTATTTATGGTGCACAATATGCATGCTCATCAACCAGATCCCAACTGATTTTTAGCTCTAGTTGGCTTTGGGAGTTTGGATCTTAACGCTCAGCTGATAACTGCCATGCATTGTACTGCACACATTTGTAATTTGAACCGAATGACTACAAGATTTTATTGCGCTAACTTCATTTTATAGAGGAAAACAAAAAAAAGAAAAAAAAGAAAAAGGAAAAAAAACTGGCCTTGAGTCCAGAAATTCTTACATTGTGTTACTGTTATTGCCCTAACGACTGAAAATTACATGCTCTGAACTACTGTAGTCTATCAAAAGCCATAGTGAAAAGGTGCTAGATGTTCTGCTTTTAGGTATGAAAACTCACTCGCGTGAATGCAATAGTTTGTCATGGACCCCATGTATTCTTAAAGCATGTTATACCAGTACCCCTGAACAATGTCAGTGAAAACCAATATAGTTTAAGGGATTTAGAAAAAAAAAGAAGAAGAAAGTGTTTGTCATACTTATTTCAGTGTAGTACTGTACCTGCCTATCAGGCTCTTGCTCTCAGTGTATCAATATCTTAAAATGTATTGTTCACATATTGAAACCTTAATTCATGTTACTGTTAGCTCTATTCTTTTCAGAATAAATATTTAATTGACAATACCTAGCTACCCTATTGCATAAAAAAAATCCTATTAAGGCCTAGGCAATGAGCTGACTTTTAAACGACTGAGAATAGAGTCTTGTAGTCTTTCTGTTGAAGAGTTATAAAATAATCTCACAGCTTGTATGGTGCAAAAATGTTTTCCAATAAGCAGCTAAAGTTTATTTAGGATTTGTGATTGATTGCTCCGTAGACGCCATTTATTGTTTACCAATGATTTTCTTGCTGTGGTGGGTTAGTGGTTTACTGTTCTTACTCTCCTTGGCCTCCAGGGGCCCTTGCCTGAAAACCAGACTACCCACCCACCAACAGAGCCAGGGGCATGTGTTCTGTGTTAGGCAGATATTTTGCTTTGGTACTTGCACATTTACAGTTACCTCATTTTTTTTTCCATGTTTGTATTGGGAGTGGGTGGGAGGGGGAGAAAACAACTAATATATATTATATATAGGAAATGGTTCTTATTAATGTTATAATTTTTCATTCCATTGGAATCATATTGTTTGTAGCATTTAACATAACTAGTTAGTGTATTATATATACATCTGTATACTGTTTGAAATTTTTAAGATTTGTACTTTTTTTAAAATGAAAGTTGCTAGTTATGCTTTACCAAGTAGTGCAATCATATTTTTTTTTAATTGTTGTGGCTGATTTGAGAGGGTTGTTCACTAATAAATGTATGACGTATACCAATATCACGCTTGTCTCATTTGATTTGCAAACAAGATTTCAAATCTAGCATCTGACAACTGTTTTTTTTTCCTTTTTAAATGTAATTCAAATAAAAATCGTTTCAAAACTGCCATTGCTATCCCACTCATCTAAATGAATTCCTCCTATTTCTATTTATCCCCCCCCAACCTCCTGACAGTCTTATCCGGTGCGTCTCATCACAACAATCAAGTGCTGTACATTCTCATTAAACCCAGTATTTTTTTAATGTTTTTAATTTATAGTTGGAAAATTACATCTTTACATGAGCCCATTCAGATGTTACAGGCAAAACAGGCATCTATGAGTAACCACAGGCACACTATGGGCAGACTTGTACTATACTAGATAAAAGCCACATGTAAAAACTGTGGCCTCTGTTAAATATTGTGTGTTTGAACTTCATGAGGCAGTCTGCTTTACATAGTAACAAATCTGCATTTGGTCATTTTATGACACACAATAGTTGAAAATAAAACAATATGCAAAGTAAATTTGGGGGTTTTAAATATTAAACTTATGTACAGGTCATGGCTCATTATAAAAAATAAAGAAAAAAAAACAGGGTTCCCATTTTGTCATTTATGTCCAAGTTCACCGACCTGCTTCCTGAAGTTCAACATGTTCTCTCCACGCCACATGAATTAACACTGAAAGCAGCACTGCTTTGGTTGTGCTTGTTAATCTATGTGGAGGATGTGTAAACTTAGGGCAGAATGAAGGTAGAATAAGGACAAATGGATTAAATGAAACTAATAAAAAATGACCACCAAGGCATCCACACCATCACAGAAATCAACACTTCTTCAATCTGGTTAATAACCATTAATTCAACCTATCCTCTTCAGTTTCCCAGATAAAACTCATTTGTGGACAAAAGTATGCTACTGTTTCAGTGCATCTGACTGAGCTTCAGCGACATAAGTTGGTAATGAGGAGGAAGGAGAAGTAACTGCTAGCTCATACGAACAATGGGAAAGCTTTTGAACGTCCATATAAAGATGAATTCAAGGAAGGACTTCAAGAAATATTTATTTGATAAAATTCAAGACTTTCCAGGCTATTGGGAACCCTGTAAACACAACCAAACAAGGACCGGATGCAAGGAGGTTTAATTTTCCAGGTTAGGATATTATCTCAGTGATCCCTTATGCATAATGGCCATTTAACAAAATATGAAAATAAGGGGGGAAAAAAGGTGGTGGGTGTTGGGGAAAGTGTATTTCCATGTAGAAGAGGTATGTCATCTATTAATCGTCCGTAAGGTCCTGAACAAAAAGGACCTCGGAGCGGCTGAGTCCCGCCTCTTTCAGTGTGGGTGGGTTGGGTTGCTCTTCAGTTGGGAGGCAGGGCAAGACTCTGCGAGGGAAGTTTGTGACTATCTGAAACTTCTCTGGAGTTTCTTTCAAAGAGAAAAGGAAGTCGTAAATGACCTGTAAGAGGAATGATAGGAAAATAAGTAAAAGTTGCAGCACTCTTTGCATTTCTGTAAAACATGCTGTGAATTTTGTTTTGGGTGGCTTGGCCAAATGTTTAAAACTTTAGGACCTGTTAAAGCTGACATTGTCCCTCACTCACATAATTCTATTATTCATCCCAGCAGAAAGCGTACTCACCGTCAGAGACTGGCCAAACAGGAATCGTCTTTCTACTCGTGTGTCATTGGGCAGCTTGAACACTATTTTGACACTTTCAGGGTCATCTGCAGGTGGCTCTGGAGGAAGGCATTCTGACTTCCTCTCTTTCTCCTCTTCGAGCGTCTGAAGTTAAATCAAAGCAGCCACGCGAGTCAGATATGGAAAAATCACACCTCCGTTGATTAGCCAGAACAAGTTCATTAAAAGCCAACTCACTCTTCGTCTCCGTTCCTCAGCGAGAGCGGTTTGTCTGACCTTCTCCTCCTCCTGCCTCCGCTGCTCCTCCTCCTCTCTTTTCTTTCTCTCTTTCTCCTGGTCAGCACGCAGGGAGGCCAGATAGGCTTCATCCTGCTGCTGCCGCAGCACTTGGGTTTGGTTCCTTTCCTCACTGAAACAAAACTTTCAGTCTTTAACTGCTCACTAAATTTTCATACCGACAGCAATAAGGGGGGGCTTAATCTTTTCTTTCTTCAAATATATTTGAAATGTTTTGCTGCACAGATCGTAATCTTTCTATATCACCCGCACTTGGCTGTTAAATAAATTCTTGGTTAGTAGACAGCATAAATATCCTAAGATTGGAGGTAGTGTGACGCAGCAAAAAACAAAACAAATCCAGCATCCAGTTCCTGTGTGTCCATAACAGGCTCTGCCTCAGATACTCATCGCAACTGCTTACCCCCAAATAACACCGTTATCTACGCAGAAACACTCTTCATGGGGCATAAAAGGGCACCTTACAACTCCAAAAGGTCCTCTGCACACCATGAAAACAGCAGCGTGACACTAGCTTCTCGTGCCTCTGATGTAACGGCCCTGGCAGCGAGATCTGACCGCCCACTGTGGCGTCTAACTCCACACAGGGCACTATGGAGCCACCAAGCCTGACCACTTACTGTCACTGCCAGTAACCCTGAGAATAGAGGAGAACTGAACATTCTGGGGCCGACGTCACACTACCATCAAATGTAGCTGTAACTGTTATGAGTTATGTTATGTATATTGGATTTTGAGTACCGTTCCATGCGCTCCGACATCAGATATGTCTGGTTGGCCTCCATGATGAAGGTGAGCTGATTGATGAGATCCTCTGGCTGAATGAGACCCTCAAGCCGGCCCACAACCGTCATCTTGCGGTCCTTCAGCATTATCATCGCCAGGAATGGGTAGGTGTTCTCTCTCAATGCTTGGGACACTAAAATACACCAAAAGAAATGGCACAGTAAGAGGACACCATTAGAGTTTATTGTCTCAATAATTCTATTACATGTTAGTTTCCAGTAATACAGATGGTTCCAGAAAGACTTTCTAATGCTTTAGAGCTCAAAACTTTCTATGAGCAGCTGCAGGCAATTCAGCACATTTGTTATGCTAAAATAACTGAAAATTCCCAAAAGAATGCTTAGCCTGTGCAGGTTTTAGACACAATGTGACAGTTGAAGAAATCTCTCATTTTCATCCTTTTATAGACACAACTACACAACATGAGCAAAATGTAAAACGTAAACCTGCTCATAGAAAATCAACACTAATTACACAGGCTAAGACTAATACAGACTTTTTAAATCTATTGTAATCTGTGCTTGTAAGCCATTAATGCTCAATCACCAGATTGTATATTATAAACAAAGGAACAAAAACACAACAAAGAGGCTTAAAGCTTCAGTTTTTGTTTAAAATAACAACTACTTAACACAGTCCCAGACATGCATACCTCTGTAGCCCTCGGGTTTGCTGGTGGAACACGCCCAGAAGAGCATCCGCGTGTTAAGGAAGGTTAAGACTTCTTCTGTACATAGCGTGGAGCTACAAAGTGATACAATCCAGCTGTTAACGGCATTTGCATTGCACTTTTTTGTGTTACATGTTAAAGATAAAAAAAAGACAGTTTGATGTAGAAATAGAAACATGATCTTCAAAGAAAGTTCATGTGCAACAAATACACAAACAAAAAAAAGTCGACTGATCTGTGAACGGCACAAAAATGAAAATTGTACCGGCAAAACTCGTCTGTGTCTTGATGATCCTCCCCGTGAAGGTACACTAATAGGTATCGGAGCTCCCGTTTGGCATCATTCAGGGCCTGGGGATGCAGCAGCACAAACAGGCAGAGCCCCAGTTTGAACTTGTCTGAATTTCTGCATATTTTTTGCTTAATATTATACATATTTCCATCTCACCTGGCTGTAGGTTCCCTGGTAAAACACGGGGTGTGACTGACCGTACTTCTCCTCAAAATTATGGATGAAGGACACGACATCTCCAACAGGGTCTGTCACGCGACCACGAGGGTCCGGCCTGATGAACCGCAGGGCAAACCTTTGGACAAGAGGACAGAATAATGAAAACTGAGTGCATAGCTCAATTCCCTTAGTGGTAATGTGACTATAAGCATGCTGACGTTACCTGAATATGTCCAGAAGTGTGTAATATGTAAATCTGAATGGTAGCATTATCAAGTAGTAACTCCATCCTAATAATCCCTGTAAAGAAAATTCCAATGAATGTTATTACAACTTAAATACAGTAACATTCCTGTTCTTACAATCACAGGGAAGACGAGCACCATCACTTGAAGGAAAAATGGTGAGGCAAAAATCAAGCGTTTGTCTGGACACATAACAGGATTGCTGTATCCTGTTTGGAGTGCTGATGAACACAGACATACCCGGGGCTGTGGCCTTGAGACGATGTAACTATATACTCTATGGTCGGCTGTGTTGACCTGAAGCGGTCTGGGTGGTGGAGGGTTAAACACACTGGGAACTCCTTCCTGCTCATTAAGTCTGTCTTGCACGGCGGCCTAAAACAGACAGACCAGACCAAACTTCATCACGCCTTTGCACCCAAAAACAACAAAAAAAGACTGTTTAATGATTTCAAAACTGCAGTTTTATTAATTCTACATAATAAATTTGACAGAACCAAGATAAACACGTCTGCTTTGGCGAGTAATTTTACCTCTATGTTCCAGTTGTGCTGCTCTAATGTTCGACGGCATTGGTCCATTGATTCCAAACCAGTTAAATCCTGTTAGGCATGAAGGAAAAGTGAGAGGATATCAAGATGCTCATAAAAAGCTGACAAGCTTGTTCAGAAATCAGTCATGTTTTTTTAACAGAAGCTACAAGGCTTCCATCTCTGTTGAGACTGGATCAACTTCAGATTTTATGATATAGAAATTTCAGATCAGCTCGGGGCTTGCACAGGTATTGCCTCATTCTTTGGCTTGCTTTATCGTTATAGGTGATACCACAATGGTTGACCTGTAGCCTAACATCATGATCTTAAAGCCCTGATTCATACAGCAGTATGTACCAACATGTTTAGAAACTGGTTTCAAAATGAATTCCAAACGTGTGTTTGAACACAACTGAACTTTGATAGTCTAAATTAATTTGGACCGATTGAGAAAGGTGTATTACCCGAATAGGTTTTTAAAATGTCACCTGAAACTATGTGAAAGATTAGCCTCGCAACGGCCCGTTGATATACAACTGGCGAGAAACTACAAGTAGACAAACATTAACTGACTGGGCATTCCAAGCATCTATCAGCAAATCGATTTGAAATAGTTAAAGGCTAAAGGGTCCTCGAAACTTCAGTGTCAGTTTAAGAATGACAGCTGTGCTAATGTAGACTTGGCTAATATTTACTAGGAAGCGTCAGAGAGACCCTTAATCAGTGTAAAACTAATTCAAATAGTGCTTGCGAACAGGGTCAGACTGCTTGTGTGTCTAGGGGAATCATATAATGAACATTACGATTGGTTTGTCCACCCATTTCCCTTAGAAGTGAGCTAACTTGTTAGTTAGCTTAGCTCATTTTCGCTAGCTCGCTAACGCCAGCTCTGACTCAAGTTGACGTTGAGAGACTGGAGAATCGTTATCGAAGTTGACTGTGCAGAAAGGGTTTTCACACTAACGACTGGGTACGACCACAGCTATTCACTATCAACAACAGCGCATTGACTCCCGAGGTTTAAATCACATACATAGTAAAGGGGAACTTAAGCTGTCTACCTGAAATTGAAGGAGTTTTTCAGTCTGCGCCTGGGATAATTCTGGCTCCTCTGGCGCCGCCATCTTACCTCGCCAATCATCTAGCAAAGCGTAGCAACGTCAACTGTCTTTTCCTGAAGCTAGCTGTTCCGCCAAGCGCTGCGCGAGCTGCTGGCACCCAGCGGCCTGGAGGCTGGACTGCCATCCCTTTTACGGGTGCTCCTTCACAGTACATTTAGCCAAACGACAACACGACAGTGTATTGTAACAATTAACTGTCACCGAAACTACTCATCGTGTTACCGCCAGGGTGAATCATAGTACTTTCAATAATGCCAAAAAGGCATATTACAATTATAAATGCAAATAGATGGGAATATTTGGATAAAATGCTAACAACATATTAGAATATATTTTTCTACTTCTATGATACATTAATATTTTAAAGACAACTGATACTGTAGTTATGGAATAAGGTAGTCTTAAGTGAAAGAGCACACATTATTACAATGAAATTGAGAAAAGTAATTTATATTATTGATAGTTGAAATATAATAGTTACTAACAGTGTTAATTATGGTAATTTATGAATGGCTACGTTATAACTTTATATTTCTTTTGCTTGTGACTTCATACTTTTAAAACAATTTTAATACACAAAAACACATTTACACATTTTGCACTTATTCATTTGGTTGGATTTATTTTTTGATGGAGTTAAAAAAAAAACAGGATCAAACTGCAACAGAAAATACAATCGTTTTGAAAGTTCATTTTTAGCAAATACATCCTCAGCCCGACTGACTGCCGGGGTGGCAGTTTCCTTAAAACAGACATAGCAGGATAATCTAAACATTTTCCACAAGTAATTAAAAAAGTCACATTGAAGAATTCATATGAATTGTGTGGTTAACTGCATTACTTTTTTCCCTCAACCATAATGATGTGATAGCCAAACTTTGTCTTGACAGGAGGGTCTGTGTAGACAGGTTTATCCATGGAACTGACAGGGAGAGCAAATGCCGCTTCCTGGAAAGGTCCGACCATCGAGCCTCGCGTCATCCACCCCAGATCACCCTGTCACGGAAATAGGGGCAAGTGACGTGAGACAAATGTGAGACAACTGTAAAACCTCAATGTTCCTGTCACCCCATTGTATTATTCACACATTAGCGAGGGTGTAAGGGTGATTTAAAGGTTGGAATATTTCTTGAGTGATGACATTATAGATAAATTAATCAGTTTAAACCTAATCATTTGTAGCCTATTGATCATCTTTGACATTTTTATACACATGGTCACAAAGTAAGAGACCAGACTTTTACTCTTCCTTTGTAAATGTGTCCTCATCCAAGCCATGTTCTATGTGATATAAATAACTGTAAGCAATGAGGCCCCCTCACAGAGGACACAGGCTTAATAAAACACTGGAATAACGTAACCTGTGAAAGAATAATAAAAAAAAACCCAAGAAGGCAACACAGAATGAGCATTTGTCCTTACTCCTTGTCGAGCTTTGTCTTCGCTGTACTGTGAAGCTACTTCACTGAAACGGACTCCAGCCTTCAGTTTTTCCATTGCCTCCATGCATTTTCCATGTTTTTCACAGAGGATGTGCCGAACCTTGGCAGAAACGTGGGAACAGAAGAGAGGATTGTGAACTCAGGAAAAGATGGGTCTGTTCCAACACAAAAAAATCTTCAGTTATTGAGAATACCTTAATGTTCAATGAAAAGATGAGTCATGTGATCTGAAAAAGAACAGTTTTACCAAAGACCTGCGTAAACATGGCCCGATAAATGAGAGTAAAACCCAGCCTGTCAATGTTCCTGCTGTTCTTCGGTATATTAGAAAGCGATAGTCAGGCTCCAGCCATGAAAGTGAGGTCTATCAGGCGGAGAATAACTTTTTAACACATGATCTGGTCACAGCAAAGTTCATATCTTGATTTCAACAACATTAGAAAAAATATTCTTGATGAAAATGCTGAAAATAGTACAAGATCACTGACAAGTGTGACAGAATATTAGTCAGTGTGTGTCTTGTTATTTATGACGAGTGAGTGTGTAGCAAAAAGTCTGTAAACGTCTCCTTTTTGTGCACTGCGGGGCTCATGAGAAACCTACAAAACTACCTGACAAAAGGGTACCAGCTGTCAGAAAAACGCTGTTACAGAGAAAAGTGAACAAATATGGACCCATATTTTAGTGTACATGATGTGGACTGAGAGGATTTTTTCCTGCTGGAAACGTTGGTAGGCAGAGCCAACATGTTTTTTTTTTGTTGTTTAAAAATTTTCTAAAATAACATAAGAAAGTGTCCATGGTGTTTTTCCCTGCTTCGTTGCGGGGCGCTCCAAAATATTACCTTCACAGAAGTGCCTCCTTTTGTGGTTTTCTCTTTCTTGTCACCCTCTGCACTTGCTGAAGCAGCTCCTACATGGCAACATATTTCAACAACGAACCGTCACAGCACAGAAGGCGTTAAATCAACGAAACGCGGCCACACACACTAACTCTGAAGTCAGAAAAAGCTAAATAGTGTCAGTGCAGTATGTTTCAAACCATGGAGTACACGGCAGTTGAGGTGATAACGTGTCATAAATGTTAGATTAAAAATGGGCCACTAACCTTTACCACCCTTACCACCTTTCCCTTTCGGGGGCATGTTAAGTTAACGGACTGAAAAATCTAGAAAACACTGCTGAATTGTTAAAAACTCAGAGCAGGACGCGCTCATGCTATGTTGTGATTGACATGCGCAGGAACCTACATCCCGCGAGACAAGCAGTGGTGTATTCTTCTTTTTGGGATTGTTATTGAGTCGTAACTACTTAATAACCACACCGCCACCTAGCGTACGAAAATAGAAACGTTCCCACTCCGTTACAGGAGTGGGAAACTCCGGGTCTCGAGGTCCTGCACTTTTTTTCCCAATGTTTCTCTGCTTCAACAGACACGATATGGATTAAATAAAGCTCTTCTAAAAATTGTTAAGTAATAAAATGTTTGCAATTGGTGCTTTTATTTGAATCAGGGATGCAAGGAAGTAAGCATTATTAATAGATAAAACATCTTTAAGAATCAAGTAAGTGCTGCTTCTACCAATCCAACTTTTAGCACCTAGTTAAAAGGAGTGCTTCTTTTTCTATCGAAAATCAAAAATCTAATTTTCAGCATCCATGTGTCACATTAAGCACCTTTAAAAAAAAAATTCAATCAGCAACAGGTTTTGAAATGGAGTTTATCTTTTTTGGATGATAATATATCATGTAAGGATATAGGATAGAAAAACGACCCCAAGCAAGAATTATATTTGATTGTCTCTTGGTCTAACACTGTGCTCTGACTCATTATCATAACGGAATATCCCTCTTTTGCACACTTGCACACTCCACCATGTTCCCATGAAGCTTCTGTAAAGAGTATTCTCTGTACTAGCACAGGCCAGTCTGGATATCATCGGTGCCAAACAACTCATCTGAAAATTTTTTTCATTTTTTCAAATAATCTATGTGGGGGAAATCATTATATTTTTAATCAATTTCTTCACTTTTCTCGTGAGGATTGTTTAACAGATGCAGGATGAAGGACAGACTTTACCTCTTATTTCAGACTCAGAGAGGGATTATAAAATACATTATGATTTTGTTTTACTTTAGAGCAGCTTGGTACGTCATGGACCACTTGTGTTATTGTACTGGTTGCTCTTACTAGTTTTCCTTTTTAAAACACTTCTTTTTCTTACTTCTTCAGACGGACTCAGACTCTTTCTTAGAATATAATTTCCACAACACCTATTAAACTTTGTTTTTGTCATTCCCTATGGCAAAGCTCTGCGATACTGTCAGTAGTTTGTCCTTGTTTGCTAAATTTCCACTCAGGTTTACAGAGGATGTGTTGCAGTGGGTTATTTTGGATGGAAAACATCCATCTCTGATTGGTAGGCCACAGTGCTGTCTCTTTTCACATGATCTTTTAAACGCTGACTGACTCAGATTCTTCGTGTCTACAGCCACGGAGTTTTAGATGTGCTGTCACACTGAAAAGGACTAAAAGTCCATGCATCCTTTCAGAACACTTTTGTAGACAATCTCAGCGCTCACTGAAAGTGAAGTAGTATTTAGAAAATATTTCATGTACTTAGTTTACAAATATATTGTACTTAAGAACATTTGCTGTCATAATCTGCCTTATAGTGTAATTGAAACATCAAGACACCTGACCACAAGAGCAGTAGCAACGTTTTAGTGATATATATGTATATGTATATATATATATATATATATATATATATATATATGGGCCTCCTCAACAGTCCTTTGGGTTTTTTCCTTTGCCAAAGGTATTTAAGAAAATGTAACAGGTTTTGAACCAAGATCTTCTTAACACATGGATACTCTGTTTCTGGGGGGCAATTCGGATTTGATTCAAATTCCAAATTGCAAATGTGGAATTTCATCAAGCATTATTCGCCTGACTGGTCAGGGTTCCTTTGGTGACATTAGAGGGTCTCGGTATTTGCGAGCTGGCCAGCTGATTGGTGCATGGTGAAAGGTTGTGTCTCTCATCCAAACTGGCCATTTTAACCACAAAGGGAGCCATTTGGTGTCCAAGCTGCATACAGCTGTCTAAAGCAGCCTTTTCATCCAATTAAAAAGCAAAAGGAAATCTATCTAAGTTCACTTTAGTCAAGAACAATCTAAACTTGATCGTAATGAAAATTTTCTCTCTCTCATTCTTGTCATGATTCATGTTAAAGCAACAAGGATCTCAAATGGCTAATGATTGCAGCATAACAAATACATCTAAAAACAGTGAAGCAGCATCCGAAATAAAAAAGATAAGATAAGAGCCCTTTTCGTCTCATCCATCTTTAAACATTTCTTTATGATCGACCTGATTTTTTCTTGTACGGCAAAAAAACTTTATCACACTCAAATTATTGCTGGAGAGAAGGCTCCATACAGATGTGTGCCACATACTTTGCAACATGTCATACAGGTAGCATAGCATACTTCAAGATGATCATGCAAACCAATTAACCTCTGAGAGCGCCACACTGACAGCTCAGTGTTTTCTCAACGGAAATAAATGATTCACCTCTTATCAGCACACCATCTCTAAGCTGACCAGAGTTTGTTTTCCCACTTATAGTCAGCACTCTCAACTTCACCCACATTACACTTTCAAGCAATGAAAAACAAAGGTCCCATTCTGCAAGATCAGAAAGAACCTTTCCATGAGCTGATGTAGGAATAACAGCGAGTGCAATATTTTCCCCTCTGAATCGCCACCACACAGAGGAGAACCACTGTATCGTCACTGCTAGTATTTGATTGTTAATCACTCACCAACAATGCATAATTGAGGCATATCAAGAGGCAAAGTGGAACCCGAACAGCCTCTGTAGGGGAAAAAAAGGTTTGGTCAGCACTTCTTTTGGACAAACTAGTGCTCATCATATTCTTGCCATTTCTTAATCCATACATCCCCATAAACGAATAGCAATATTTTGAACCAGGAACACGGTCAGCTCAGCATTTCTGCAAACTGGATTTCTAATCCTTGGACTTTTTAAACAGTTTTAATTTAGCTGTGGAACTCATACAGTGACACTTGTTACAGATTACAAAAGGTCTTCAGTTTTGTTTTTTCTTTCTGGTATTTTCCCGTCACCGCTTTCCTTACTTGCGTTGTGAGATTCCCCTCATGTGCAAAGAATAGCTTTTATCTCATACTCAGTCTTAATCACATGTACAGTCATCTGATTCTTTAACCACTGATGGTGTAAAGATAAGAAAACACTGCAGCTTCCATGATGCCTGCAGCAAATTGTAACTATCTAGACTTCATCAAACTCAGGGGAAGCATGTCATGGCTATGACGATAAATGAGAGGTAACATTTAAAGGAAATACTTATTGGTAGATTGTAGTTTTTTGTATTATGAGCAATGGAAGAGAAAAATGTCATAAAAAAAGCTCTTCCTTTGCTACTGCTCTCAACCTTTCATTCATCAGAGTAACAATCAGGTATGGTTAAGGAGAGGCAAGATTTTTTGAAAAGCACATTTCATGTAGAAGATCATTCAAAGTGCTTTACAAAGAATTTAAAAGCAGAAACACAAAGAAAGAAAATGAATCAACAAAATGATTAGACAGATAAAATGTGAAGGGTGCAGATAAAATACATTAATTTTCCATATGCACAGTTAAACAGAACCGTGTTCAGCCTGCATTTAAACATTCTCAGGGTTGAGGCCTGTCTCACCTCTTCTGAAAGACTGTTCCAGATTTTAGGAGCATGAAACTGAAATGAAGCCTCCCCTTGTTTAGTTCTGACTCTGGGCACCAGCAAGATACCAGAACCTGAGGTTCTCAGAGACTAAGCTGGTTCATATGGCTCTAAAATGTCATGCAATGAAAGGAGAGCAGAGCTATTTTAAAGTTAATTCTCTGAGTGACAGGAAGCCAGTGCAGAGACCTGAGCACTGGACTGATATGGTCGCATTTCTTGGTTCTGGTCAGAACTCTAGCAGCAGCATTCTGGATGTTCTGCAGTCTGTCTGGTTTATTCCTCTGATTCTCACAGTATTTTTGAGATGGTAAAAGGCTGCTGATGTTTTTGATTTAATTTGGCTGTTAAAGTTCAGATCTGAGTCCAGTATTACCCCAACATTTTTTACCTGATTTTTAGGTTCTAGATAGAGTGTCTCAAGGTGACTAATGAAACGTTCTCTTAGTTGTTGTGGCCCATAGACAATTATTTCAGTTTAGTCTGGGTTTAACCAGAGAAAGAAAAACTTATCTGTTCAGTACAGCGACACAGATCTGAGTGTCATCTGCATAGTTGTGGTAGGACACATTATGGCTTATTATGGTGTATTAGCTGACTCAATGGAAGCATGTTCAGATTGAACAAAAAGGGTCCCAGGAACCCCACAGTTCCCAGTTTGAATAAAGTAACACTTGTCCTCGAGGTAGGACTTGAACCACTCCATCATTCCCACCAACCAATGGTATGGTTAAGTGAAATCATCTGTCTAAAGTCAGATTAGGTATTTCTAAAGTTTGCTTTCCACAAGGATTGTCATGCTTATCTTACCGCTAAATCAAACTTTTTTTGCACTTTTTGCTAAAATGAGCATGCCATACAAAACTACACTAGCATACCAGACTCATTTTATCATCATGTGGCTCAGAGGAAGGAGCCTTTGCCTGTCAATGGGTGGTGGGTGGGTTTGTGGTTCAATTCTGGGTTAAATGTTGAGGTGTCTTTGAAGGCAAGCCTGATTAAATGTGAGAGTTGTGTTAGGAAGGGCGTTGTAGAGGAAATTCTCTTTTTAGGCAAGAGTCTCAGTCCATCTGAGGAAGTAAAAAATAGAAACCTATTAAAAGGGAAAACTTCATGAAGTGAGAGCAACCAGCATGATCATACAAGTGGTTCATATGACGTACCAAGCTGGTATGAAGCAATACAAAACTATAATACATTTTATACCCTCCCTGAGCAGAGGGTGAGGAAGGTGTCAAACCTCTGACGCTCACACCCGTCCAGTGTTATCTGTGTCCCATCATAAAGTAACCAGCACATTTCAAAAAGGCCTCCTTCCATCATCTAAAGCAGTGTTTCCCAACCCTGGTCCTCAAGGCACACTGCCCTCCATGTTTTCCAAGTTTCCCTGCTCCAGCACACCTGATTCTAATGAATGGGGCTTTAGCAGCTTTCTGCATAGCTGAAAAGTCCTTCCATTTATTTCCATTTACTTGGAAAACATGCAGGACAGTGTGCCTTAAGGACCAGGGTTGGGAAACACTGATCTAAAGAATGTAG